ATAATTAATGCACGCCCCATCACCAACAAGTCTCACATCCTAAACGATCTGTTCTGCACCAAAAATTTCAACTTTTAATGGATTTCTGAGCCGTGGCAGCGCGAAAATCACGTCACTCATCTCCGTGAGCTCTGTCCTCAAGACTGCTCTTTCTTCTCTGCTCCATGGACCACAGGCCGCGGTGGAGGAACAACTGTTATCTTTAAAAATCACTTTTCATGCCAAATTGTATCCTCAAGCTCCTACCGCTCATTTGAGATAATCATGATTACAATTGGTCGAGTTCTACCAGTTTATAAGATTCTGGTCTATCGCCCACCTGGATCTACTTCATCCTTCCTGTCTGACTTTCAGGATCTATCCTATCTTCAACTATTAAACTAGAGAGGTTAATCATTGTTGGAGATTCCAACATCCAAGCTGAGGATCTATCTAACAGCTCTACTAAGCCCTTTTCAGACTGACATTCTGGAACATTTGCGGACAATTCAACCCGGTTTTTAACCGGAACTGTGTTTTCAGACACACCACTTTTGTACCGGAACTTGTCCTTTCGGCTGCGTTCACACAGCAGGGAAAAGTTCCAGATGTCTGACGGCGGCGGGGGGTGGGGGGTGGGGGAGAATCGGACTTATGTTAAGAAGAAGAAGAAGAAAATATCATTTCTATAGCGCCTCTAAAGATAAAAATCACGAGGCGCTTAAGCATAATTCTGCGCACACGAAGACGCATAAGAGACCTGGATGATGAAGCTCAATGGTTAAAGGAATCACTGAAGCGGTGTGAAGCGCTCCGTCGCGCGTCTAGGCGGTACCGTAGGAGGCGAGCTGCCGTGGTTCGCCGCATGCTACAGCAGCGAGCTACCTAGGTGCGCACAGCGTCCCCCGGTCCCCTCCTCCTCCCCCTCCCCCTTGTCCGGAACTTTACCTCACCACCAGTCTGAAGCAGCCACCCTGTCTGTAACAATTCCGGACCTGTTACTAGAGGCTTCGTCCGGATAAATTCCGGAACACGGTATCCGGATGTTTGTATTCAGACACAAAGGTCTTACGGACAGAGTCCGGAACATTTCCGTTTTTCATGGCCTGTCTGAAGGGGGCTCTAGAGAGTTCCTAAACATGATGAACTCTTAACTTCTCTCAACACATGTCTGGTCCCACTCACAGAGCAGGCCACGGCCTGGATCTGGTCTTTTCCTACGGACTTCTTGTTGATAAACTGCAGATAAATGATGTTGTGTTCAGTCACCATAAGTCAGTTCCTTTTCATATTAACCTAAATTCTGAATCTCTTTTACCAGACTCTGCTAAGCAAAGACGTATTATCAACAGTTCTACCATTTTAAATTTCTCCTCCCTCTTTGACTTTGTACCTCCTTCTGATGACGTAGAGCTCCTTACTAAAGCCTGGTTTATGCTTCTACGTCAGCTCCGCAAGGAACAGACACGCACGGATTGACGGAAGCATTTTGCTCTCATACTTCTCCGTCTCCTGGAGAGTGTTGCAAAGCAATTCCCTGGCAGGACCACAGAGGGCGTAGCGCTGTTCTGTGGTATCATGTCATGGATCGGTCCAAGATCGTGTGTTTATATTGTGTTTTTTGTGTATATAAGAGACTTTTAACACGGACATATTTGTCTCTCATTCTCCCACCGCTTCATGCGCTCCCCACCTCTAAACCCACGTTTCCTGTCATTTCCGTCCACAAATAAAACGCTTGATGCGCATCTTTTCACTCGGTGGAAGAGGACAGGTTTGGTTGCTCATTGCGAATATTTAAAAAAACTTCTCGAGTCATACAACAAAGCTGTAGGAAATGCCAGGTCTTCTTTCTTCAGCAACGTCATATGCCAAAATAAGAACAATCCTAAGGTTTTGTTTGATACCATCTCCAGCATCGTTTCTTCTCCTCCTCAGCAGGCTCAGCTATCTTCAGCTGATGATTGTAACATTTCTCCACTTTTTTGCAAACAAGGTGTTGAATCTGAGATCCAGCATTCCACCAGCACCCCCCATCAGTGAGGAGGCCCCTCAGTGCTTCGAGTCTTTCACCTCCTTCTCCCCAATCACACTAAATGACTTAACCTCAGTAATCACTCAGATGAAGCTCTCATCATGCTCATCAGATGTGTTAACTCCCTCTATCTTAGTCGGGTCCCTTGCCTCTATCAGTCCATCTCTGTTGACTTTAATCAACAGCTCACTGTGTCAAGGCTGTGTTCCATCTTACTTTAAAAATGCAGTAGTGTCTCCTCTCTTAAAGAAACCCAACCTTGATGCCAGCTCCACCAGTAACTTTAGGCCCGTTTCTAAGCTACCTTTCATCAGTAAAGTACTTGAGAAGGTTGTTGAAACTCAACTCAGATCCTGGCTTTCTAAGTCAAAGATCTCGGATCCCTTCCAATCTGGCTTTCTGAAGTAGCACTCAACTGAGACTGCTCTAGTAAGGGTGCATAATGACCTAATGGCTGCTGATGCTGGGAAATGCTCTGTCATGGTCCTGCTTGACACTGTAGACCATAACGTTCTACTGAACAGGTTAAATGCTCTGGCTGGTATCTCCGGTTCTTCGCTAGACTGGCTATCCTCTTATCTCACCAACAGAACATTCGCAGTGAAGTCAGAAACCTTTTCATCAGACACCATCTCTCTAACCTGTGGGGTCCCACATGGTTCAGTTCTAGGGCCTCTACTATTCGCGTTCAATATTCTTCCTCTAGCTGGCATCATTCAGTCTTTCCCTGACATCTCCTACCACATCTACGCTGACGATATTCAGCTCTATATGTCCTTCATGCCACACCAGTTGGACAGGCTGGCCACCCTTGTACTCTGCCTGACCCAGATCAGTAACTGGCTGTCCAGCAACTTTCTTGTTCTCAGCGCCAACAAGACAGAGACCCTGATCGCTGCACCCCTGGAACTTCAGCCAAAAATCGAGCAAGAAATTGCCTCCTTTTGCCCAGCAGCCAAGTCCAACATTAGAAATCTGGGAGTTATTTTTGATCCAGTTTTAAGTTTAGACTCACACGTCAAAACCATCTCCTGCTCTTGTTTCTTTCACCTGAGAAACATTTCAAAAGTTTGTAAACTAGTTTCTATTGCTGATCTGGAAATAATCATCCATGCCTTTGTCTCATCACGCTTAGACTATTGTAATGCTCTTTTAACTGGTCTCAGCAAAACCTCCCTGTCACGCCTTCAAGCCATCCAAAAGTCAGCAGCCAGACTCCTAGCGAAATCCAGCAGACAAACTCACATCACTCCAGTTTTACAGTCCCTCCACTGGCTCCCGGTAGAATTTAGAATTCAATTTAAAGTATTACTGCTGACCTATAGAGCTCTTAACAACCAGGCTCCAAGCTATCTATCTGAGCTTTTATCCCCACACACCACCTCTCGGAACCTTAGATCCACATCTGAAAACCTCCTGGCTGTTCCTCGCACCAAACTAAAAACCAAAGGGGACAGGGCCTTTCAGACTATTGCCCCAGACTTTGGAACAGTCTGCCTTCAAAACTCCATCCCTCCAAAACTTTAGAGGTCTTCAAAAAACATTTAAAAACTCACCTTTTAATTCAGGTGTTCCCCCGCTAAATATTCTGAAAGATGGCTTTGTCTTTGTTCATACCTTGACTTTGTTGTTACTCCTGATTTTGTTTACTATTTTGTCACAGCTATTGTTTTTGTAGCGATAAATATGGATTTATATTTATATTCATCAAATGTGGTGTAGACTTAGCTTGTCTTCGTCGTTTATAATTTTATGTTAAATAACTCGGGGCACCACCCAGTTTTGTCTGTGTGAACTGGGACACTGGATTTAAAGGGACATTATGGAAGTTTGACAGCCAAAACATGTATAGAAATAATAAATGTCTTCTTCATACGTTCTCCTGCAATGCCCTGGTCCTGTAGAATGAGCCCTGGCATTTTTACTGTGATTGCCTGTTTTTCTGTAAAATCACAGAAAAAGAGAGATGCTCGGGTCGAGCAGGCTGCTTCATGCGCGTTCACGCTCAGGCATAGCCCGTAGCATTTACTATCCGCAGCTTTAGCAGCAGAGAGTGAGAGGCAGTGCCACTTTGTCGCTGTTCCTAACGCCTAGTGACAAAGCTAGCTACATTTCTGAGGACCCTTAGCTACTTTCTGTAGAACTTTCTTCTAGATATTTCCTGCAAATTAGCAACAAAATAGCCATTTTCGCTCCGAACCGTTCTTTGAACGTTGTTTCAGCTGTCATCAAGGATATAAATGTTACAGGTACAAAAGACGTCACTGGCGCTTTGGCTCATCTAGTAAGTCATCGGACTCTTGTGCAGAAGACCTGGGTTTGATTCTGGATGTGAACATAGTTTATTTAGAGTTTCTTTTTTACATTAATGGTATATTTTTTTACAGTAAGATGCCCAAATTCTTATTTGAGACTCGCCGAACGGCATTGAATTCACAGATAAGAAAGATGTGGGTTCAACTTTCATCTTGGAACAATTTTTCAAGCAAGGGAAGGGAATGATCTGAGCATGCAGGATGACTGACCCATCATAAACCTTTGTCGGCTGTGCTGAAGAGAAAGGTACAGAACCAAATTATTTAATTAATTAGCTGCGCGTTCTCCTGTCCTCTGCCCCCCCCCCCCCCCCACACACACACACACAAGGGACTGTCTCAGCTGTTATTTTCGTTAAGGAGTGTGCACGTACAGCTTGCGCGCCTTGTGCACGAGCCTACTATTGAAGCTGCCGTTACGCTTTTGGCCTGAGGAGGCAATTGCGAGCATAAAAATTCAAAAGTCCGTAAAGTCCCTTTAATAATCAGTTGTACGTTCTACTGAATCATCAACACATTTCATGGTACAAGGAAATGGCTCAGGGGGTACACAAGACTAAAAAGGTTGGGAAACACTGTCCTACAGAGATGTACTGTTAACAGGAATGTGCTGCTCAGATCTAATATTGAGTTCATTCTGGAGGAAAAGTGAGTTTCCTTCACCTGACCAGTCATTACTCAGCCAACTCCTGTCTGCTGCCTCTCTGTCAGCTCCACGGTGCCGCCGTCACCACGGTGGAGGGCATCGGCAGCTCCAAGACCAGGATCCACCCAGTCCAGGTCAAACCTCTCTCTTTTGAAAACACACATTTTTTTTCTGTAATAAAATTTTTTTTTGCTCAGTTCTAGTTCATCTTCTCTATTTCTAAATAAACCTCTAACTCTTGATATTTTATCACTTTAAGTGTGTACGAGGACTGAAGAGTAAAAACCAAACTCTTCCAAGGTTTTTCTGTACTTGTAGAAATTGAATAAGTGGTTTATTTAAAATTAAATTAAGTTGCTGCCTGGTGACTGAAGATGTTTCTTTCTTTCAGAATCAGACATTAGTTTCTGCTATTCCTCAGCAGTTTGCTTTTCATCTAGAATAATTTTTCTGGAGGATTTCAGTGAAAAAATCTGATCTCTACATTTTAGAACCATAAAACCAGAACTGCTGGATTTGTCATGATCAGTTCAGCTCCAGATGTTGTGATTTCAGGAGCGGATCGCAAAGGCTCACGGCTCCCAGTGTGGCTTTTGCACTCCAGGGATGGTGATGTCTGTGTACGCCCTGCTTAGGAACAAACCTCAGCTGACCATAGAGGACCTCACCCAAGCTCTGGCAGGTATGTTTACTTTTATCAGCATAACAGAAATAGTAAAGTTGCAGCCAGCAGCTGGTTAGTGTCACCACAGTAACATCTATGGTTCATTAGGGCTACCATACTAACCACCTATGGCTCGTTAGGGCCACGGGGCCACTGTGGTCTACATTTTTTTAAGCCAGTGGAGGAGTGGCTAAATTGCAGTTCCATCCTCTTCCACTAGGGGATGGCAACAGAAGTGAGCAAATCCTCATTGACTCCCATGTTAAAAATGCCAATTTCACAGCAGAAATAAACACGTTTACAGCCTGGTTCAAAACCCCATTTTTAATTTAATAGATCATGACAACTCTGGGGGGGGGGGGGGGTCATTTAACTGCTTGGTCAAACATGTTTGTGGAGCTGCTGGCTGGATAAGAAAATTCGAGTGGATGGGCTTTACTAGGAATGGCTATTTCATTTAGCAGCAAACCGTCTTTCCTTGCTAAGTTTAGACTGTTCTCCTGCCATCGCCATCAACAGAAAGTTGTTTTGGGAAGTTTTGTAAAGAAAATGTGAACTTGGCGCTATAATATTCAGAGGCGAGAAAGACGGGACCTTCTTTGAACATACTGCGATTCCAAATGACACGACCGGGAGCCCTGGCCTTGGCACAGTCTATTTGTTCCTGTGAGAAATCTGGCTGCCGCATTTTGTACCTTCTGCAAATGATTGAAGGAGAGCACCTGTGAGAGCAGAGTTGGGATAGTCAAGTCGCAAGGCAATACATGCATGGATAACGGATTCTAAATATGGTCTCCTTAGGATGGGGTTTAAGCATGTTATGTGACAAAGTTGAAAAAACAGGATCTCACTGTAGCATTTGTCTGCTGGGTCATGGGCGGATCTGTATCAGGTTTAACCCCAAGGCTAGTCACACCAGAGCTAAAGGTCAGGGAGGGGAAAGTGAATGAAGCAGATGTGTTATTATCGAATCGTGGTTTAAAAATAATTGCCTCGGTCTTGTCCTCATTTAACTGGAGGAAATTGGTAGCAAGTCACGCTGGGCTGCAAGGCACTTTAGGAGAAGATGGGTGGAGCCAGTCTGATTCAAGGAAAGTAAATCAGACTGTTGTCAGCACGCAGATGATAGTTTACCCCATACTTTGTGAGAATAGTGCCTAGAGGGAAAATGTAGATAGAAAAAAAGAGTGGACCAAGTATTGATCCTTGTGGAACACCCCAAGGGAGTGGAAGGTAGGGAGAGGAACCATCACCAATATGGATACTAAAGCAACTGTCCGACGGATATGATCTAAACCAGGGGTATTCAGTTCCAGGCCTGGAGGGTCGGTATCCAGCAGGTTTTAGTGGTTTCTCTGCTCCAACACACTTGATTCAGGGGTTTAATCACTAATGCAGCAGCTCATCAGGCTTACACTAACACAAGTGAATGTAATTAGTTACTTTCTACCTCTGCATATTATGCATATAACTCTACAGCTACTTCTCCTTTCCCTCAAAAATGACAGATCTGAGGTAACGTTTTTGAGATATTTTAGTTTATTTGTGTTTCTAGCCAGCTAGCAAACTACTAAAAAAAAAAACAGGAATCTTCACCCAAGGCTTGGTTTTCTGAGCTGAAGATTTGTGTTTTATCACCATAGCTGCAATACACAGAAAAAAAAAACATTACTAACTAATACACACACTTTAAATGGCCTGTATTTGATATAGCGCCTTCCAGAGTCCTAGAACCCCCCAAGGCGCTTTACAACACAATCAGTCATTCACCCATTCACACACACATTCACACACTGGTGGGGATGAGCTACAATGTAGCCACAGCTGCCCTGGGGCGCACTGACAGAGGCGAGGCTGCCGAGCACTGGCACCACCGGTCCCTCCGACCACCACCAGCAGGCAACGTGGGTTAAGTGTCTTGCCCAAGGACACAACGACAGCGACAGACTGAGCGGGACTCGAACCAGCAACCTTCCGATTACGGGGCGAGCACTTAACTCCTGTGCCACCGTCGCCCCCTTTAGCCTCAAGCTTAAGGAGGAGATTCAGCTGCTAGAGAGAAAACAAATATGGCACTTTTCCTGTTACTATCTTCAATTAAAGTAGTTGTCATGTTGCGTAAAATGTTTAAAATGTAAGCATGCATGAAAGGACATATGTGATGTTAATAACCTGAAATGTTTTTAGTTTTTCCTTTTATTTTAATGAGAGGGGGACACAACATATCAGTTTATATTGGTATCGGAAATGAAGAGTCAGACTATTTAAGATATCGGTCAAAAAGCCGATATCGAGCATTCCTAGGCCACCAAGGTAACAACCTGTGTCTTAAAGGTTCATCATGGTAACAACATCTCACTCATTAAGGCTACCACAGTTAATTACTCAGGAATGGGTTGTCATGTTCTGAGGTAGATGCTTAACCCAAGACATGCAGAATCGGAGACCAAGGCGAGTATAAAAGTAAAAAAAAAAAAAAAGAAAAAAAATTTGATCAGGAGAACTAAGGGCGCACTGGGGTCCAGCGGATGAGAACCAGAAGCGGCGTCTACAGGGAAAACAGAGGTGAGTATGGGTGATGAAGTCTTGAGGGAATTGTTTGGAGCCAGGACTTACTATGCGGAAGTGGAGTAGGAGAATGAAGGGGGAGTGAGCCGGGGTGATATCCAGAGCGAGTTAGCAGTCCAGGAGGATGAGTGTTTGGCGGATTAAGTTGAGGAGGCTGACTCGGAGAGGGAGCGTGAGCGTGGTGGAGAGCAGGTCGGCTGAATAAGAGGTGATACAGGAACGAACCGAAGAACTTCTTCCAGAGATCGCAGAGTGTCCAAAGATGCAGCAAACTGAGGTAATCAAAGGGTTAGCGGAACTCGAAGGGCTAGAGACTAACAGCTAGTAGCAATCATCCGGCGTCGCACCATGATCACCCTCCTCCTTATAAAGCCGGCCCGCTGATGAGCTGTTGCTCCCTCTCCCGCAATCAGAACTCAGAGATTGTGAATGGAGTGAAGAGTACTCACCCCGGCTCATGACATGGGTGTAATTTGGGGTGCCCCCCCCCCCCCCCCTTACTTTTTCCAAAGTCAATTTTTGTCGTCCAAAAGCAATATTACGCTATAATAAATAGGCTGGTTGAGCACTAGGGCCAAGAGTTCAGCTAGAATCTGATGAGCTCTATTGATCAGATATTCAAAAAATAAGTGTAAGATGGTGACAATGAGTGGGAATGAAAATGGCTAACAAGGTGAAAAACAAAGTTGAATTAAAAGTATTAATTTTTAGTTTTACTGCCACCTGTGCATTCTTGACATTTCAAAAAAGAGCCTCTAGGCTGTAGTTTCATACATAATTTAGTATACTTACTCTAAAGACACCCCCCCCCCCTCCTGTTGTGTGTCCCCCACTTCTAAAGTCAAGACTACGTCCATGTCCACAGGGCTGCCTCAGTGATATTTCCTAATTGTTATTATGTTCTCGGTTAGCTGTCCCTGGGGTCATGCCTTAAGCCCTGGGTTGTGTCTGTCAGGCTCAATAGCACATACATTTAAAGGAAATTTCCTGTGCAATGTTTTTGTTTCTTCTAAGAGATGATGACTTTCTGTCTGGTAGTCTTGTTTTAAACAGGTCCAGCCTCGTTCTCAGTGTGTGGTTTTGCTTTCCAGGTAATCTGTGCCGCTGCACCGGATATCGACCCATCGTGGACGGCTGCAGAACCTTCTGCCAGGTCTGAGTTTCATCGATCAGGAATCATGAACTGTTGGCGGTAATGTGATTCTGATCTGTTTTTTTCCAGCAGGAAGCAAACTGCTGCCGATCCAACGGTGGAACCAACTGTTGCCTCAACGGAGAAACAAATCCAGACCAACCTGAGGATGTGAATTTCCTTTCTTCTCCTTTAGAGAATCTGTTACTTTACATCCAGTCACGTCTCTGTTCTGTTGAATTCTTCCTCTAAGTTGTTAATAAATCCAGCTGGAACTTGTGATTTCTCACAGGAAAAGCCACAGCTATTTGACAAGGAGGAGCTGCTTCCTCTGGACCCGACCCAGGAGCTGATCTTTCCTCCAGAACTGATTGTAGGTCATCAGCAGCAGCATCAGCTGACTCATTAAACAATAATCTGATGTCTCTTAATTACATCTTTCACCAGCTGATGGCACAGACGTCAAAGCCACAGACGCTCAGATTCTACGGCGAGAGGATGACCTGGGTGTCCCCTGTCTCGCTGGAGGAACTGGTCCAGATCAGAACCAGATACCCGGGGGCTCCTCTGGTTATGGGAAACACCAACATAGGTTTGCAACAAATTCATAATTAATTCACTCCCCATTTTAAACTGAGACCCTCATGGTTCTGGTTCGTCTTTGTGTTGAAGGTCCAGATATAAAATTCAAAGGCGTTCTACATCCAATGATAATCTCTCCCAGCAGAGTCCAGGAGCTGTTTGAGGTCTCTCAGACTCCACAAGGTGGGCCCATCTCCTCCAGAATAAGCATTCAGCATCTTTAAGTCATCAGAGTTGACCCCCTTGTTCCCCAGGTCCATTTGGCCCCTGGTTCTTCTTCAGTTCTTGAATGATTTGTCAGATTTTCCACAAAACTTGTTTTTTTTTCCATTTTCCCATGAATAATGTGTTCTTTCAGATTGACATTTCCATTTTATTATAAATCAGTTATTTTAATGACCATGAGGAACTCAGCCTGCAGTCGTTTGACATTTTTTAAAGTAGAGAGATTATTATGTCTCTCATGACACTCACGTCATTATTCCAAATTCATTTTAACAAGTTTTCTTTTTTTATAGGTCCACAGATTTGTTTACTTGTTGAACTGGTTTCAGGTGTTTGGGTCGGAGCGGGCTCCAGTCTGTCCGAGGTCCGATCTCTGTTGGAGAGACTTGTTCTTCAGTTCCCAGCGGAGAAAACCGAGCTGTTCAGAGCCCTGATCCAGCAGCTGGGAACACTGGGAAGCCAGCAGATCCGTAATGTTGCAGTGAGGAATGTTTTCTTTGTCTCACTTCAGTTGAATTTGATTCAGACTAGTTTATTTTTCCAACAAGAATTCCAAAAGCACCTCTAGCTTCCATACAACCAGGTCCTTCAGTCCAATCCATCCCAGTTTATCTCAGTTCATCCTGTTTAATCCAGTTATTGTTCAGTATTATACAGTCTGGTTCATTCCAGTTTATTCCAAGTTGTCTAAATACAGTTCATGTCAGTGCTGTTAGTGTTAGTCAGATAATCCCATTACCTACTGTACATTCTAGGGCTGGGCAATGAATCGAAAATTAATCGTTATTGAAATTTCTGACTTTTACCAAAACAATTGTTCCCATGTCAATAAATTTGATAATAAAAACTGAAAAGATGTGTGTAGGTTAGTAACATCCATGCCCCTTTAAGAAGCTGTACCACCTTGAGTCACGTAAAAATGTGACTAACCCTTCTTTCCACCGGAGCCGTCAGCAGCACGTTACTGCAGCAGCACGTCTTGCTCGCGTTAGCTGCTGCTCGGCCCTTCCCACGAGACGCGAAGCAGCAGGGCAGCAGCTGTCACTGACGGAGCACAAAGTCACACGAGTGACTTCGTCAGTAAACACAACAACAAGCAGGAGAAAACTACAACATGGCTCCAAAAGGTTTGTGTTTTATGTTCTGTCCGTTTTATAATCGCCAGTACGGACCTGAAAAACAAAGGAGATCGCTAGCTAGGTGATAACTTCTCACGGGGCCGCACAGTTAGTAACTTTTTTTAAAGTAAAGCAACCGGAATGCAGTACGTTTCTTTATTCTGAAAATCTCGGGAAGCTTTGCTCCATTTCCGCGTCCGATTTCCTGTCTTTCCTTCCCTAAAAATGTCGAACTTGACCCGTTTCAGAGGCGTCGCGCGTAGAAAATAGAACCGGCACGGAAGGGCCGTGACATGCTGCTCCTGAGACGCGGCCGACTCGCGCTGCTGATGGCTACGGTGGAAAAGATTCTGTTGACCACAGCGGTTCCTTTCAGCAGCTATGACGTGCTGCTGCAGTAACGTGCTGCTGACTGCGGAAAAAAGGGGTCAACGTAACCCATGGGACAGCTCCATCTAGTGGACAACTTTTGTTTCTGCGCATGCCTGTAGTTATCGTCCATTTATCGTTATCGAGGTGAAATCCTAAATATATCGTGATATTGATATTAGGCCATATCGCCCAGGCCTGCTTCATTCCAATTGAAGGGATTTTTTAAAACCAGTTTAACCAGTTAATTTTGGTTATAAAGCAGTCTGATCTGTCTAATTCAAATTCACCTAAATACAGTTCACTTTAGCACAATTGATTAAAATCAAATAACTGATGTATTTAGTTTATATTTAAAATTGATTCTATTGAATCTATTGTAAAATTGTTGTAATCTAAAACAAAAATCCACTTTTAAATGCTGTTCATAAAAAAAAACGTCTTGACTTCCTGTGTTGGAAATAAATAATTTTATTCAGAAAAAACTTACATTTTGCAGAGAATAATGATGACTTTTGGAACACGATTTTAAAGTGCCAGTGTGTAGTTTCCTGGCTCTAAGGGCCAGTACATACATTTCAGAGTAGTTTTACACCATATCACTGTCGCTAGTAAAAATAAAAAACATTACAGTAAATGTTACCTGTAGGGATGCACCGATCCGATCACATGATCGAAAATCAGGTCTGATTGTGTGATTTGTAGGAAAAAAAACTGACCCTGCTCAGTTTGCAGCAGCAATTGAGCTAAGCCAACACTAAAAAATACATCAAGAAACCAAGAATTAGTCCACGAACAGCAAAATGCCAAGATGGCAGCATATTGACCACACTAGATGAGCGTCCGTGGTTGCAAACGTCGGGTGCAGTCTCCTTCAGTCGCCGTATGATCTGTTTTCTCTTCCTACATTTACAGACGCAGACGCTCTACAGGTGTTGTGTCAAAAAAAGTTACTCTGCTGCTGACCGTCATGCACCATCCCTGTCACTGAAGACACCCACACACTCAGTACACGATTTAAAATAAGAGTGACGAAGCTACTTCAACATTTATTCTTAATATTAACATGTTTGTTATTAATGTCCTTCCTAAACGAGTGATGTTTTATACAACTAAATGACTTAAATACAGAACAAAACTTTAAAGGACAACTTTAGTGTGTTAGTATCGGATCGAGACTCTGTATCGGTAGACCTTTGACTCGGAATCGGATCGGGAGCAAAAAAAAAAAAAAAACGTGATCTGAACATCCCTAGTTACCTATGGAGCAGAAAGCATGTCAGCCCCAATAGAGAGAGAGTAACATTGCGTCTAATATGGCGTTCCCCAAAGACGCTATCCAATATACTTGAGGCCCAATTTTAATGGTTATACGTTATGAAGCTGCCACTTTTTCCTATAACTGGACATCATTTTATTCTTTTTCAACAACGCTTGGATGGATATTTCCAGAGGTTAATGGTGAAAACTACACACTGCCACTTTGACTTTCAGACATGTCTAATTCTGAGATCTTCTTCAAATAAAAAAACAGAACCAGTCTTTATATTCCTCTATTTGAGTCTCTTTTAGTGAAAGCATTCATCCTAACTTGTTCCCTACTTTTAGTCTCTTGGAGGAAACATTGCAAGTGCATCCCCAAACTCAGACCTGAACCCTGTTTTAGCTGCTGGGAACTGCAGAGTCAGCATCATCTCCAGTGGTTAGTCAACTCCATTTTTATTGGTTGTAGGCATTGACTCTAAAGGACGAAAATAAGAACGTTGGTTTGTCAAGCAGCAGAAAGATAAACGGGTGTGAATCCTGCAGGAGGAAGACGAGAAGTTCCCCTCAATCAGGATTTCTTTGTGGGATTTGGTAAAACCGCCCTAAAGCCGGAGGAAATCCTCATCTCTGTTTTCATCCCATTTTCAAGAAAGGTTTGTAATTCCTTTTTAAAGGGGCCAAATCATGGAAAATCCACTTTTTTGGAGCTTTACCATGTGACATTGCTACTTCATCATGAAAAAAAAAAACATTTTTGACTGCAGTCATGCATTTTCCTAGCCTAGTGAACTAGACCAAACTCTTGCTTTGCAAAGATATCTATTGGTCCACAATGGTAGGCCAATCACAGCGCTCTATCGGCTTTGTGGGCCAATCAAAGTGGTCTATTGGTTTGTTGGGTGGTCTGATGTAATGGAGCGGCGCAAGATGGCGTAGACTCATTTGAAAAGGCTTTTACATCAATTTGGACTTGGGCTTTATTAGAATCATGAGCAGATAGATGTATTTGCCCTTTATTTAGAGAAAGCATGTATTTTCTCCTTCTTCAACAGCAGACTGCCTCTTTTACCGGCATCCGTTGCGGTGAGTACGTCAGGTTGTTTATTGTCCAGTAGCGTGCAGAGATCATTTGAAAGTTAACGGTAGGACCCCCACGACCGAGAGCTGTCAATGCAGCATTCCCAGACAAAAAAATTAGTTTATTTAGTCTGGCTTGCCAGGCTAGCATTTTCCTGTTTCAGTTGCAAATTGTAAGTTTTACTTTGAAAATCTTGTAAAGCGTCAATGGAAACTAGTCTCATCATCAGGCCCTGCTCCTCTCCTAGAAGCTAGTCTCTGGTCTGAAACCTGTCTCCCCTGGCCAAAACAGGTTATGTGGCTTAGGTGACAAGGTTCATGTAGCAGACCTGGTAGTCCAGTGATTAGAGTGCTGGATGTCTTAACCACAGCAACTGACAGCCTAAGATGCTGTTGGAGTCGGAGGGGCCGTGGGCGGAGTTTCACTGAAACTAAGTGTTTTATTTGCAGGTATTAATGCTGACAAAAATGACTCGTATTTAAGATAAACGACATCTCAATATTGCCAACAGTAATATTTGATCATAGAATGTGCCTACCTTTGCTCTCAAAGTTTTAAAATAGGATTATATGGAATAAATCTTTGTTCTCTTTTTTGGATCTATTGGCTTTGGGTATTTTGTGATTATTGGTGCAGTTCCATGGTTGTCCTGCAGGGGGAGTTCGTCCATGCTCTTCGACACGCGCCCAGGAAAGAAGCCTCTTTTGCCACGGTGACGACCGGAATGAGGGTGTATTTCTCTGAGGGATCCAGAGTTGTTCAGGATGTCAGTTTGTACTTTGGAGGAATGGGTCCGACCACCGTTAGCGCCGACAAAACCTGCAAAACCATCGTGGGAAGGTCAGATTCTGTTGATTTATTATTTAAAACCTCTAGTAATGTGTGGCAACTATCGTCATCTAGAGGTCAATGATTTTTTTATGAATAATAATAATATTGACCGTATATTTGGTTGCCCAGAGGTAGATCCATATATGAGATCCCGTTTCCCTGCTGTTAATCCTCTTTTGTGTTTTTTATCAATTTCAGCATTTATCATAAATAAGTGGAAATAAATTAGGCTCAATTTCGCTCTTGTTCAGGCCTTGGGATGACCAGACCCTTGGTCGGGCCTACGACGTCCTCCTGGAGGAGCTAGTTCTTCCTCCGTCAGCTCCAGGAGGGAAAACGGACTTCCGTCGGTCTCTGACTCTCAGCCTCTTCTTCAAGTTCAACCTGGGTGTCCTACAGAAACTCAGAGAAATGGTAAAACACCCAATCATTTTCAGTTCTAAAGGTTTCTAACTAGATGTTTGACTCAGAGTGGTTATCTTGACAGAATGTGATCAGAGACGAGCTTCCTGAAACATTCCTGCCTTTACCCAGCGATCTCCAACCCAACCTGCAGGAGTTCCAGGTTGGAACTTTACCTTCATCGCTTTACATTGCATCGATATCCAATAAGTCTGACTCCTCCTCTTCTTTAGCACGTGTCAAAGGACCAAAGCAATCAGGATGCGGTTGGACGTCCCATGATGCATCGCTCTGCCATCAGCCATGCCACGGGCGAAGCTGTGTACTGCGACGACATTCCCAAAACAGATGGGGAGCTCTTTCTCGTACTTGTCACCAGCTCTCGAGCTCACGCTGAGATCATGTAAGTGTGAAACCGCCTTTCTTCCTGTTCCGCCTCTTAGTTAGTGTTATTATTTTATTTACTTTACCAGAGCGTTGGATGTGAGCGAAGCCCTGACGCTCCCTGGAGTTGTTGACGTCATCACAGCCAAAGATGTTCCTGGGAAGAAAGCGCGCTCCATGTTTGGTTATGAGGAGGAGCTGCTGGCTGTGAAGGAGGTAAAACCTCATCAGAGTAGAGCATCAACAGCTGGAAACAAACTCTACAGTCAGATGTTGTTGTGTTCAGGTGTCGTGCGTCGGACAGATGGTGTGTGCGGTGCTCGCTGACACAAAGGTGCATGCCAAACGAGGAGCAGCAGCCGTGAAGATAACCTACAAGGACCTGCCGGATCCAGTTTTCACCATCGAGGTGTGTTTTTGACTTTAGCTCACTCGGGTTTTTGCTCTCAGCTCATCTGTCGTGTCTCGGCGACAGGACGCCATCGAGAAGTCGTCTTACTTTGAACCTCAGAGACGGATTGAAAAAGGAAACGTGACGGAAGCTTTTAAAAGTGTCGACCAGGTTCATGAAGGTAAAGTTGTTGCTTTTTTGATTCAGGAAATTAATCTGTGGTGATGGACTCACTCAGGTTTGTTTGTTTGTTTTCTCAGGAGCGATTCGGATTGGAGGCCAGGAGCATTTCTACATGGAGACTCAGAGCATGTTGGTGGTTCCTGTTGGTGAGGAGACGGAGTTCAACGTCTACGTCTCCACTCAGTGGCCCACCTTAATCCAGGTACACACAGGGGTTCTACTTGTTCCTCTGCATGAGTACCTTAGTAGATGTTGAGCAGTTTTTCACGTTGTTGTCCTGTTGAAAGATCCAGCCCCGGTGCAGCTTCAGCTTAGTCACTGATTCCTGGACATCCACCACCGTGTTTTACTGTAGGTAGCAGATGTTTTCGTTGGAATGCTGTGTTCTTGTTCCTCCATGCATAACGCCCCTTGTTATTCCCAAAAAACTCAGTTTTAGTTCCATCAGTCCACAGCACCTTATTCCAGAATGAAGCTGGCTTGTCCTGATGTGCTTTAGCAAACCACAAGCAGCTCTGTTTGTGCTGTGGGTGGAGAAAAGTCTTCCTCTATAGGGATGGGTACCTTTGGCATTTGAATCGATTCGGTACTAATTCCCAGTACCTAGGAATCGATACCGGTATTTAACGGTACCAATTTTCGATACTTTTGAGTGTTTAATATTTTAATTCTCTTTTATAATCAAATATATTTTTTCTCAATATATAACAATATTTGATAAATATCACGATAAATAACATTCAACTGTTTGTATTTTAACATCGTCCTTGTAGTTTTATAAGCTGATGATTAAACTGAAGCAAACATCTTTACTGTGAACTAAATTTACTGTGTATCTTCATTCCTTTTGCCGTCCTTTTTCATTTGATTTTTCCTACTGGGAAGTTAGAATTTCCGAGGAGAAAGCGAACGCACCATTAGCTGATAACAATGGTGGCAATGGAAGCTAACATATCAAGCTAACGTTATCTTAAACAGTTTATTTAGCTTCTGGAGCAGATTAAAACGATGATGCCTCACACTTAGATCGTTTTCGCTGGTTTCATCTTCACCCAATCACCCGTCGCATTTAGTAAAGTGAAGGCAAACTTTAGAGCGCGTTCATGTTCTTCTAGTCAGAAATTCGGAGTTCCGAGGAGAAAGCGAACACACCATTAGCGAAACAGAAGCTAACATATCAAGCTAACGTTATCTTAAACATTTTATTTACCTACCGGAGCAGATGAGGATGTCTCATTAAAGGGCCATTCCCATCTGTACCGGGTCGGCCCAGGCCGGGTAGCCCCAGTCGGCCCCAGCCTGGCCCGGTTGATTCCACACATCCTTGTCTTAAGCCCATGTGGGCTAATTCTACCCACCATTCAGAGGCTTGCTCTAATGGAAGGTGTGAATTTGCTGTCAGCAGTGGGTGTGTTGGCCCTGGTCGGCCTGAAGCAGACCCCCTCGAGAAGAGGGCTGAGAATGAGCCTTGGTTGGCCCGGGAAAATTCCAGGCCACCCAGATATGTAAACAACCTACGCTGCCCGGCCCGGGCCGACCCGGTACAGATGGGAATGGGGCTTTAGATCGTTGTCGCTGGTTTCATCATCACCCAGTGACCCATCACATTTAGTGAAGTGAACCCAAGCTTTAGCGTGTGTTCTTTCTACCATGCTGCTCTGTTTACAACTGGCTCGCAGCGACCGGTAACATAACGCTCTTGCAGCTGTCTAAGAAAGTTCTCGTTATGAAGGACGGGTACCGAGACGAGGCACCGTTTGAAATGACGTGAATCGCTGCTCGGTCGGTACTGTGGAATTCGTTCAGTACCTTAAAAAGTCCCGAATTCGGTACCCATCCCTAGTCCTCTGCATAAATGTCACATACTGCATCTCCTTGTGTAAAGTGGACCGACTAGTTCAATGATGCACAGTAGGGGTGGGATTTGATACATGGCGAACGATTCATAGGAATTGAAAGAATGGGAACCGGTTCTTAATAAGAACCTGTTTTCGATTCTCAACCCTAAATTGCACAGAGACTCCATCTGCAGCAAGATGATGTTGTAGGTCTTTGGTGCTGGTCTGTGGGTTGACTCTGACTGTTCTCACCATTCTTCACTTCTGTCTATCTGAGATTTTACTTGGTCCTCCACTTGGAGCCTTAACCCTCGGGGGTCCATGGACACGTATCTGCGCCTTTTGAGCAGGTCTGATTTGGGACGCTGTAGCAGCAAGACAGTGGCGGTTCTACATCGAATTACTCCCCGGGCGAGGCCCCTTTTGAGCACCCCCCAACCGCCCCCCCCCCCCCCCACCACCACCACACAACCCCACCTGCATGAACACACGCATGTTTTCTACAAACAGGCATGTTTTATTAGAACGACTATTGAACATTCATTTTTCTAAGTTGCACATATTTACATTAATTACTATGAAGTTGTCAGAATGTAAAGCACTATACATTATATACTGTATCAAAATATATAGAATCAAATATACAAAAACAAACAATAACTAAATATTAAGAATATATGAACATAATATATAATAAATATTCTAAATAGCAAAAATATTTCACACATAACAAACTAAAGATAATCACCACAGCATTGCACTTAGAATAGAAAACACAAACTAAAATTAAAACCTAACCTTGATGCAACGTCATCAATAATGTCATCACATGAAATCTGCTCCCCTACTGAGTGATTGATACTAATCAGAGCCAGGTTAGTGAGCCGCCCCTGAAACATAGTTGACCTCAGCTATGACTTGATCAAGTTTTGAAAAGCTCCTCTCAGCTTGAGCCACAGTGACTGGCAGAGCAGTCCAAAAGTTGTGGTAGATCTCCAATAGATCTTTATCATGATCCATAATATTTTAGAATTGCCTCTGAAATTGTAATTTAAACTGACATAACAAACTGTAGACTACCAAAAATGCCAACTTTTACAGAACAAATCATGTAAAAAATAATCAGTGCAGCCATCTGCAATAAATAAACAGGATAGTTAGTGGTGACTGGGGAGTTTTCTTCTGCTTGTAGAGTTGTTTTATTTATTATTATGTGAACATGATCAACATGTGTTTGTTGTTGTTCAGGCAGGCCACAGGCTGCAGTGAGCATTTAACAAATCCTAGTTTGAATCAGTAAAAAACGATTTAAGGACTTTTTTTCGAACCATTTGAATATTCGTTTCAATATTTCAGCCCTATTAGCTCTGTTAGCAACTAGTTGACCGAATTTAACCGTTAAAATCCCAGTTAACTGGTTCAAAAAATTGAAAACATGCATCATGAGAGCTACATACCTTTATCTTTCTCCTCTTTTTTCTTTTTTTCCCCCTGAATGGGGCACCTGGTGGTTTTAGCCTTTTTATGTTCATCTCTTCTGTTTGGCTCCTGACTCAGTAAGTTTCCTTTAGTCAGGACTAAACTATTTGACCTTAATGGGGGGTGACCACAAAATCGTTTTGTTTTTCCTTTTTTTATTCGGCCATTTCACACAATTCAGAGACACCTGAAAGAATGATAGGCCTGTGTTTATGATATTATGAATGAAATATGGAAGAACGTTAAGATGTGATTGACTTTAGCCATGTTAATACAGTTGATTCAGCCCCTGCACGCTCATTTCATTTGGGAAAGACGCAGAGGTGAATTCCCCCGCCGCACCCCTCCCCTTCCTGTTCTTCATAGACACACGGTGCACGTGAACGTTCTCAGTCAGCAGGAGCGCCTGCAGCAGCAGGGGGCGCCAACTTGCTGTTTCCAATCCAGACACTGTCATATGACAGATAATAGAAAACCTCGGCGCGGCGCAGATTTCCTTTTTTTTTTTTTTTTACTCCGCGCTTGTGCGCCCCTTTTGTGTCATGAAAAAATGCCGCCCCGGGCAACTGCCCTGTCTGCCCGTGCCTAAAACCGCTACTGCAGCAAGATTCCGCCTCCCTGAGTTTCAGTTTCAATCCAGCTTTAAAAAGGAGATTATAAACGACACCCCAGTTTTTAAATTTTCTTCCAGCTCTCAGAGAGTACAGACGCTTTTGCTTCAGCTCCCTTATCTGCTTCTCCCAAGGCTCTTGTCCTGTCTGCCTACAGAGCACTCTCTGCATTTCTCCTGAAAATCATTACTTCTTTTTGGAAATGGACTTAATTAACTGGTAATTCAACGCGATTGATAATATTTTTTCTACTATGAGAACGGAGAGGGGGGCTCCCACCTGTCCTGAAGGGACATACGCAGTGGGATATGCACTCGATTCTTGGGAGGTCTGGCGAATCGTGTGCCTCTCTCAGTTGTCCATCGAGGACGTGGAAGATTTGTGGATATTCGGCCTGATGATCATTGGATTTTTTCTGATTGGAGTGGCAGGATATCTGGTTTTCTTGAAATCTGGGAAGACGGGAGCGATTGGAGTGTGACCCGTACCCATGGATTTTGCCGCCCGTGTGGTGACCTCACAGACTGGGACGTTACTCGAGGTGAACCGTAAGCTGGACAATGTCCTCGCAGCGTTGCCTGTGCTAGTGCGCAAGATGGATGTCATCTCGGAGAGGGTCGCCGGACGGTGGGGGGTGTTTAGAACGTATAATTGGCTTCACTGGTGGACATGAATGACCACTTATAGACTCCAAGGCAGAGAGGAAAATTATATCTGCCTGCCCTAAACAAAGTCTTGTTTATCCTTATCTGACGCCAATGCAGCCTCCAAAGCTGCCTCAATATCACCCCCACGAAAGGAGGAATGTAAACAGATGCTGTGACCCGACCTTCCCCCCCTGCCTTCAGATGGTGACTTCTGCTTCGAGGTCATTAACCTGCAGGAACTCAATGTGCTCTCTGGCCCTCGTCTCTCCTTCCCACCTGTTTGACTGCAGCTGTGAGCGCCGTACACTGGCAGCTCCCGTTGGAGGATTCAGGATTCCCCCCCCCCCGCCTCCCTATCGGCTGAAAGCTCTGCTCCCCATGGTAGTGAGACGGGCAGAAGAAACAACAAGATGGAGGGAGGAAGATGATCTGAGGGAACGGGAGGGGGGTGGTAATACTTATCAGGTCTGAAATATATGGAGGAGAGAGGAATGTGGAACAACTTTCATGACTGTGATCAAAGGAACATATTTAATATCTTTTAAAAGCAGGCAGATTTAGTGCATTTCCCACAGAAACCAGATCAGAAATGCTGTTTGTTGTTGCAGGAGGCCATCGCAGAGACGCTGGACATACAGTCCAGCAGAGTCACCTGTCACGTCAAACGGCTGGGCGGAGCCTTTGGAGGGAAGGTCATCAAAACCTCCATCCTGGCATCAATCACGTCTGTGGCTGCGTGGAAGTGAGTGATGTTCCTGTTGTGAGAGATAATTTAGGTGTTAAACAAAGCTAAACACCTGATTTAAAACGTGAAAAATAGTCTGCTTAAAATACCTGTTTATTGTGAGGACCAATCGAGCTGTCCGCTGTGTGCTGGAGAGAGGCGAGGACATGCTGATCACTGGGGGACGCCATCCTGTCCTGGGAAAATACAAGGTACAGCAGCAGACTCAAGATAGCCTTCGGACTTAAGGACACTGTCGTGGGTTTATTCATTCTTCTGAGAAGCTGAAACCATTCAGAACTTATTTTCTTGAAAACTGGGTTTTAATTTGAAGAAGCAGCTGGTGCCGATCTAATGTATTACCTTAACCTGTTTGGTCCAGGTGGGTTTCATGACTGATGGGAGGATCGTGGCTGCAGATTTCCACTACTACGCCAACGCAGGCTGCTTTGTGGATGAATCTGTTCTGGTATGTCTAAAACAAATGTAACTTTAGTAAAATCACACATATAGAAAATACAAAAAAAAAAAATTTCTCTTTTTGCAGATTTCTGAGAAGATTCTCCTTCATTTGGACAATGCCTACGACATTCCCAACCTAAGAGGCTTCTCGGTCGCCTGCAGGACCAACTTGCCCTCCAACACAGCCTTCAGGGGCTTTGGCGTTCCACAGGGCGTTTTGGTGGTGGAGAACATGATCAATGACGTAGCCATGGCTCTGGGACGCCCTGCAGACCAGGTTTTTACTCGTCTTCCCCGATCAACTGTTCTTCAGCGGTTTTTATTCATTAAAATTTAAATTCTCACCAGATTCGGGAGATCAACATGTACACGGGTCCGTCAGTCACACACTACAAGTTTGAGTTCAGTCCAGACAACCTGCAGTGCTGCTGGGAGGAGTGTAAGCTCAAGTCTGAGTACGGCATCCGCCGTGAAGCTGTGGACCAGTTCAACCAGCAGAACCGCTGGAAGAAGAGAGGGATTTCCATCATTCCCATTAAATATGGCATCGCCTTTGCGGAAGGATACCTAAATCAGGTTTGTTCAGTTGAGATGATTTTCTGTGTTCATCTTTGTGATCTTGCAACATGTTCACATAAGGAACAGAGCTTTTTTTCTTAAATAGGCTGCTGCTCTGGTCCACATTTATAAAGATGGTTCTGTTCTGGTTTCTCATGGTGGGACAGAGATGGGTCAAGGAATTCACACCAAAATGCAGCAGGTATGTTTGTTTATTACCATCAGTAAGTATTGAATGTAAGCAGAGCCGAATTAAATAAATGGACTACACTAGGCAGGCTGCCCCCCCCCCCCCCCCCCCGATGTTATTTTATTAAATGAAATCTGAAACTTACCAAAGTTACTAATAAAAGTTCATTCACATTTTTGTTTTACGCCAAAATAAGTGATGTATTGTATGTTAAACATTCTATCAGACAATTTTTTGATATTAATAATTTATACGTCATTACACAGCTGTATTAAATGCTAATAAATTATCCTCGTCTTATCATCGTCGAGTAGGGCTGTAGCGAAGCCTCGACGAAGTCGACGGCTCGATTCTAAAAATTTGTCGACGTCAGATCCGGAAGTCGACGCGCCACGCCCACTTGTTGCATCCCCAGGAGTTTGTAAATAGAGGAGGAATCTGCCTGTTTTTCCTCTAGTTCGCCCTCTTCTCCGCCTTCACTAACATCTCCGCCAAATACCGAAGACCCGGAACAACGTCCGTCCACTACTAGATTATTTTCCTGTTTTGCCCCTTCGTCTCCCGGCAACGGACAACAACTTCCGGGGTCAAATGCGCTGCTTCGTGCCTACCGCAGATGTAGAAAATCACCGGGAGCGCTTCTCCCTTCATCAAGGAGCTTCTTTCAAACATCAGGAGAGCTGTTTTGGTGGTAGCAGTCTCTCCTCCATGCTGGTCTGTTTGCTGCCGGGTGTTTTTGGTTTATTTAAACTTGGTAACTTGAACTTAATGTTGGTAAAGCTACTGTTAGCATCTTCGCTAACAGCTTCTTGCGTTGGGATAAGCTGTTACGTACGTTTTGGTTTAGAGTTCATCTTTTTTGTGGTGTAGATCTCCCTTTCATTACATTTAGAGTGTTGTGGGTTTTCGGTTTAGTGTAAAATATCACCTGAGTTTGGTTTAACCCGTAAGACCACTCGCCTCACGCACATAAGTGACCAAAACAAAGCAGCATGGAGACACTCCATCTTCTACCACCTCTCAGGCAGCAGCCTGCACTCCCAAGTTCTACACGTCACCAGAACATAACCAACCAACACAATAAAAGCAGTGTTATACAAAATGGAAGGCCTGTAGTGTTTATTCTCTTACAGTAAGAATTTATCAATTTTTTTGAGGAATTTATTTGAGATTTTCTGGTTTTTGTTAATTGTGCAATAGAAAAATAATCATTAGATTAATTTTCTAAATAGTCATTAGAATAGTCGACTATTCGATAAAATAATCGTCAGAATAATCGTTTTAAAAATAATCGTTTACCCCCAGCCCTATCGTCGAGTGTCACTGTTAAGGCAGTAGTACCAGTAAATAACCACTAGGTGTCATTAAATGAATCAACACATTTAATTAAAAAGATTCCATCTTTTAGTTATTTTTTAAAACACAGAAAGGTTTTTATTTACCTGCAACGTTTCGTTTGCGGCTGCAAACTTGCACTGTCTGTCGCATCCTGTCATCAATTTGGTACCACTTTGCAGGATCAGATGGGTAGCTTGTTAATAACCTTTCTGGGTCTAGAGGTTCCTGCTGTAAGACTATGTTGGGCTCACTTCTGGCTGGCTGCTCTTCTTCCAGTTCGTCCTTCTGTAACAGCGTTGATGTTGACGGCGTTGGCGCAACAGCGTCTTCCGCCGCATTTCCCGCCGCATCTTCCACTGCATCTTCGGGCCGTGTCTGCTCCGGGTCTGGCTCGGGCCCGGGCCCGGCTTCTAGCTCTGTTGGCTTGAGCAGGTTCACAGCTGTCGGAGGGCTGCCCGAATAGCCCGACAAAAAACTTCTGTAAAGCACCCCGCTGTCTCTTCTTTTGTTCCTCTTCATTTTTTTTCTTTTTACGTTTTGCCGCACCCGAAAGCATCGTGAAAGTTAGCCTACTCAAAAACTCCTGCTAGCTTTGTTGTGTCCCGCTCTGACTCTGACCGCTTCTCTGACATCCTTAATTGGGTGGTGCCCAAGTTGTAGGCTACAGTCATGGGCTGGCGTTAATGTGACATAGCTAATGTAACGGTCTATGGTTAAGATAAACATTGCCACGATTTTTAGTTAGTTAATAAATACTGAAATAAACTGTAGATAGGAGTCCTATCCACAAATGCTATCATAGGACATTTGTACATTTTATTTTAATTAATTTATTTTTAATGTTGTCCCTCTGTCTGGGCCCCATCCAGCCAATCAGGCCCTAGGCACGTGCCTACTTTGCCTTTGCGTTAATCTGGCTCTGAATGTAAGAAAACATGCTGCACAGCTGCAGACTAATATTTAAAGGTATAAATTGCTAATTTTTCATTACATTTGCTTTTGTTGCTAGTTTGAACGAAAGCCCTGTGAGTTGTTTTCTGTGGAGAAAAAAGCTCTGGCTCTCCTGTTTCAGGTAGTAGACGTTAGCCATATTGTGGAGCAGCTAACGCTAATGGCTAACTTCTGCTAGCTGCTGTCTCATGGCCACAAAATCTGTAACACAATAAATGTGATTTTAAAAAGAAAGGACTGTTTGTCATTAGGTTGCGAGTCGAGAGCTTCACATCCCAACTACAAAGATCTACATCAGTGAAACCAGCACCAACACGGTACCCAACACGTGTCCTTCTGCTGCTTCCTTTGGCACCGATGCTAACGGCATGGCAGTCAAGGTGATAACAACTTCCTACAGGTGTTTGTGCTTTTAACTGAAGACTTCATTAATAATATTCAGTTTATTTTGAACAGAATGCCTGTGAGATTCTATACCAGCGACTGGAGCCAATCAGGCTGAAAAACCCTAAGGGATCATGGGAGAGTTGGGTATGTTATTCTAAGAAAGCTAAATATTATTATATTCCACGAAACGTATTTCTTTTCTCTGATGGCAGGTGAAAGAAGCGTTTTTTGAGAAAATCAGTTTATCATCCACCGGATTCTACAGGTAAGGCTAAATTCAACTTGTTTAAGTTGTTAAAGTGGCAGTGTGTAGTTTCCTGGCACTAGGGGGCAGTACATACATACATTTCAGGGTTGTTTTGTACCATTTCACCGTGACATCACGGTAAAGGTTGTCACCTGTGGAGCAGAAAGCATGCAACCTCGGCTTGACTCCTCAGACTTTGATGGCCGTTCAGTTAATCCCATCAAGAGAATGCAATGCCGATGGTTTTCTGGTGCTGTCGTTTCGAGTAGGACCTGGCTGCAGACATCAGCTGGCGTGTCACCGGAAAGAACTTTCAAGTGAGAACAAGATGGCGTTTCATTACTTTTACCGGAAAATCGACGAGCGAAAGACCTCGGCTGGAAGTTGGACTTTTTTGGTGGCCGCTCCATTGTTTTTGTGTTTTTGTTTCAACCATACTTGGTGGGTTTCAAAGAGGAAAGGTAAGGATGAAATTAACTAATGTTTGTAACCGTTCATAGTTCTTAAATGTAGGCACTGTAGCATTTAAAGCTTTACCAGAGAATTATTGTAAAGGCACCGTGTTTCATAGCTAATTGTATCAATATTAACACGCAGTCTTAAAACTAATGCAGGGAGTTCACAAGCTAACACAAAATCTACATCAATAAAGCAATCAGCAGTTGTAGCTTAGCTTTAACTTAGCTATATATAATATATATATATATATATATATATATATATATATATATATATATAGTAACATGATGAAAGAGCTATTCCTCCAAGGTATTTAACCTTTATCCAGTTACTTTTGACACAGCGCCAGAGTGCATGAAACAGCCTCAAGGTCATGCATTCGCTTCTATACTGTTTACTTTCCAGCAATGAAGACAGAAGATGAAGAGACTCATATATATATATATATATATATATATATATATATATATATATATATAGTAACATGATGAAAGAGCTATTCCTCCAAGGTATTTAACCTTTATCCAGTTACTTTTGACACAGCGCCAGAGTGCATGAAACAGCCTCAAGGTCATGCATTCGCTTCTATACTGTTTACTTTCCAGCAATGAAGACAGAAGATGAAGAGACTCTTCTTTATTAAATCAAAGAACTCTATTTTCAATAAAGCTAATCAAAACAACTGTTAGTCAATACAATGTGACCGATCTGTGAAATCACAATATTATGATTAATATGTTTTAATAAGTAATATGACTTATTCTAGTTCACTAGACACACTGACACACGTAAGGTAAACAAACGCATAACACATTGCTGCTGCTGATCCAATCAGAACCTTCCTAGTCTGAAGCGTGGCAGAGTCTCTGTGGTGTTTATAAATCTGCCGGCTTTGATTCGTCCAAAATCAAAAACATCCAGATTAATAAAACAGTTCCAACGCCATCTTAAATTCAGTTCTCAAGATCCCATGAAGTTCATTGCATGCTAAGTGAAGTATCGGACCGGCAATTCTGTACTTCTCTTTTTAAGCTGAAAACCATCAAGCTGTAAAAATCTGTTGTTTTTACCAACCAAGCAACAGTACCTTTCAGAATAAAAGCTGAACTCGCTGACCCAAGGAGGGTCCCCTTTTTGACGCTGTGAACCACCTGTCACTTTTTACCTGGAGACTATCCAAAGACTGGTTTGTCGTACTGTTGACGCTGTTTCATCGGCTCCAGTACCAGAGGAGGGTCATGGACCTGGCATCCAGATCTGTACGGAGGTCTCACTGAGGGTATGTGGATGCAACATAAATGGCGTCTCGTGTTTATGACTACAAGTCTCAAACTCTGATCAGTTAGGAGCAAAACATCATCTCCCACTCAGACTTTGTTTCTCCGGATACGAGGGTTCTGAATGACACTCATTCACACACACCATCCACCTCACACTTCATTCAAACAGAGCATCCATCATTAAGAGAGTTAGTCTTGTTAAATTGTTTAAAATTATTTAGTAATAAAGTTCCTTAAACGTTTGAAGGTCTCTCTTCTCTTGTCTCTCAGTTAATACAAAGTGTTATTTTAAAATCCCTGCAATAAAAAGATCCAATCTTCTGATTGAATAACCCAGTGTCCACAAGATGAATTTCATACTCGATATGAAATTTTAATGACTTTTGGTCCTTAATTAATTGTAATTAACAGTCATTACAATATATATATATATATATATATATATATATATATATATATATATATATATATATATATATATATATACACATATATATATATATATACATATGCAATATATACATATACAATATATATTGTAACAGATGCCGTCAGTTACGGCTACTAGATGGCCTCAGCAAGCTGCCTGCTCAACCCGCTCCAGCCGAGCCCAGCCGCAGGCGATTTCAACCACAGAGCTCCCTGTTGAAAGGGAGTACCTAGAGATGTTAAGGGGGGAGATACAGAAGTGTTGATGAGGAGGTGTTTGCACTCCTCTCTCTCTCCTGTGTGCAGACGTTAAGAGTCTCAGCTGTTGTAACCTGAGTGGTTTTTGATCTGACTAGTTAAAGCGACTTTGTTAGACTATTTAGAAATTGTCCTCGTTAGGAGAGAGTCAGCTCACCCTTTTGGTGGAGTTTTTAGTGTTTATAGTTTTCCTCCCAGCCTTCAGTGCTTGCGCTTTTTGTTATCTAAGATCGCTTTTTGTTATTAGGCCCGTTGTTTATTATATATATTGTTGAATATGTATATCCCCAAAATAAATGTTGTCTAATGCTGAGAGGAATGTTTTGATCATTTTTATGTTCACGTGTTTTGTAGGTTGACGAGCTGACAGAGCGGATTGGTTCATGCTCAGGAATAGATAAACAATAATGAAGGGAGAGTTCCAGTTTCTGGACTTGGTGTTTGATGTCCTTGTTCCAGAGGTACAAAGCAGTCTTCAGCAGTGATTGGTATGCAAGTTACTTTTCGAAAACATATGACAGTATATGAATTAATCCTTGTGTGCATTTTTTTTCAGGTGACAATCAAAGTGTTGGAAAAATGGGAGGGGATGAATGAATATGCAGCTGAGAAAGCCATGCTTCAGCAAATTCATTTCTACTCAAAATAAAATGGTTGTGAAATTGTTTCTTTTGATTTATTGTCTTTCACTCAAAATAATACAGAAATGCTAACTAGCTACATAGTCATCAGCTGTAGTAGTTAAATTCTGTTGCAATGAGCTGCTGTGATACGCAATAGGACAGTGTTATGGATATTTTGTAACTCATTTTTGTTGCTGGTGAGAGAGGAGTGTTGCTGACATGTTTTTCACTGCTTCTGGGAGTCCTGTACTTTAGCAATCGGTGTAGGTCAAAAGTTCATCTTGGGCTTAACAATAAAACTGAATATTTAACAAGTACTATTTTGTTTGCACATCTTGAAAAGTCTTAGTTTAATGTGTTCTCATTTTTCCATACATGTTTTTTTATTCACTTTACAGCCTTTTATTGTTGTAATTATTATATACAGTGGGGCAAAAAAGTATTTAGTCAGCCACCGATTGTGCAAGTTCTCCCACTTAAAATGATGACAGAGGTCAGTAATTTACATCATAGGTACACTTCAACTGTGAGAGACAGAATGTGAAAAAAAAATCCATGAATTCACATGGCAGGATTTTTAAAGAATTTATTTGTAAATCAGGGTGGAAAATAAGTATTTGGTCACTTCAAACAAGGAAAATCTCTGGCTCTCACAGACCTGTAACGTCTTCCTTAAGAAGCTTTTCTGTCCTCCACTCGTTACCTATATTAATGGCACCTGTTTGAACTCATTATCTGTATAAAAGACACCTGTCCACAGCCTCAAACAGTCATACTCCAAACTCCACTATGGCCAAGACCAAAGAGCTTTCGAAGGACACCAGGAAAAGAATTGTAGACCTGCACCAGACTGGGAAGAGTGAATCTACAATAGGCAAGCAGCTTGGTGTGAAAAAATCAACTGTGGGAGCAATTATCAGAAAATGGAAGACATACAAGACCACTGATAATCTCCCTCGATCTGGGGCTCCACGCAAGATCTCATCCCGTGGGGTCAAGATGATCATGAGAACGGTGAGCAAGAATCCCAGAACCACACGGGGGGACCTGGTGAATGACCTGCAGAGAGCTGGGACCACAGTAACAAAGGTCACCATCAGTAACACACTACAACGGCAGGGAATCAAATCCTGCAGTGCCAGATGTGTTCTGCTGCTGAAGCCAGTGCATGTCCAGGCCCGTCTGAAGTTTGCCAGAGAGAACATGGATGATACAGCAGAGGATTGGGAGGATGTCATGTGGTCAGATGAAACCAAAGTAGAACTTTTTGGTATAAACTCAACTCGTCGTGTTTGGAGGAAGAAGAATACTGAGTTGCATCCCAAGAACACCATACCTACTGTGAAGCATGGGGGTGGGAACATCATGCTTTGGGGCTGTTTTTCTGCTAAGAGGACGGGACGACTGATCTGTGTTAAGGACAGAATGAATGGGGCCATGTATCGTGAGATTCTGAGCCAAAACCTCCTTCCATCAGTGAGAGCTTTGAAAATGAAACGTGGCTGGGTCTTCCAACACAACAATGATCCCAAACACACCGGCTGGGCAACAAAGGAGTGGCTCCGTAAGAAGCATTTGAAAGTCCTGGAGTGGCCTAGCCAGTCTCCAGACCTAACCCGAAAGAAAATCTGTGGAGGGAGTTGAAAGTCCGTGTTGCTCGGCGACAGCCCCAAAACATCACTGCTCTCGAGAAGATCTGCATGGAGGAATGGGCCAAAATACCAGCTACTGTGTGTGCAAACCTGGTAAAGACCTATAGTAATCGTTTGACCTCTGTTATTGCCAACAAAGGTTATGTTACAAAGTATTGAGTTGAATATTTGTTATTGACGAAATACTTATTTTCCATAGCCTAGTGAACTAGACCAAATTCTTGCTTTGCAAAGTTTGGTCTAGGCATGCTCCATTGGAACCTCAGCAGCTCCTACCAGGACTCTGGCTAGCCAATCACAGCTCTCTAGAGGGGTTTCAAAAACATAAAGAGCTGTGATTGGTCCATAATGGTGGGCCAATCATAGTGCTCTATCTGCTTAGTGAACAAATCACAGAGCTTTATCCGCTTTGTGGGCCAATCAGGGCACTCTATATGCCTGGTGGGTGGGATGATGCAACAGAGTGAAACAAGAGTATGTCACATTCTTTGTCCAGTGGAATGTGGAGATCATTTGAAAGACAACGGTAGAACCCGCCCCACAACTGAGAGCCGTCAATGGAGCATGGCCAGACTAAATAATACATTTATTTAGTCTGGCTTGCCAGGCTATATTTTCCACCCTGATTTACAAATAAATTCTTTAAAAATCCTGCCATGTGAATTCATGGATTTTTTTTCACATTCTGTCTCTCAAAGTTGAAGTGTACCTATGATGAAAATTACTGACCTCTGTCATCATTTTAAGTGGGAGATCTTGCACAATCGGTGGCTGACGTAATACTTTTTTGCCCCACTGTATATGTGCTACTGTCATTAAAATTCCCTGTCTGAAGGATTAAGGGATTTACCATTCAGTTTTCATGCAAAGTAGGTAACGACGTTATTTAAAAGTTCGCCTGTCCAAATTTGAAGAGAAAAAAAAAATCAGAAATAAAAAAAGCTTTTTCCGGTAAGTTTTGTTAAAAAAACTACTTCCTGTGAAAGTAATGACTTCTGGTTAAGGTATCGTTTTTCTCTTAGATATGTTTATGCTGATATACATATCTAAGAGAAAAACAACACAGTATGGTTTTTCTCGTCAAATCCAAACTACTTCCTGCAAAGGTAATGACTGCCGGCGAAGGGAATGACCCGATGTCTTGTTTTTCCGGTGATGTCAAAGAAGATGCCATGTGATGTCTGCAGCCAGATGCTTGTGGTAGTTTCTGGATCTGCTTGCGGTCCTGTGCTTTTTGATGATGTCATCAAACCAAGCGCCAGAAAGAAAAACACTTCTTATATGTGAAAATTTTCTGATGTATTTACATAATTAGCAGCCATTTCTGTTTGTATAAATATGGAATTCTGTATATTTTGTTAGTTCTTATGCAAATAAATCAATTAATTAATTCATTCAAAATGTATACTTGTAATTTGTTTGATAAAGTTCTTTTACATTTTTATTAAATCAGAGCTTATGTAAATAAATCAATTCATTAATTAATTCAAAATGTATACTTGTAATTTGTTAAAGTTCTTTTACATTTTTATTAAATCAGAGCTGCTCATGGTCACGGTTTATCAACTGATATCTTAGCTTTTATTTTACATTTCCTTTGGCAATTTAAACATACCCCCCCCCCCCCCCCCCAAAAGAAATTATTTTTTCTTTTTTTACAACAGAACTACAACCGCAAGGGACTACAATTGTAAATTTGTCTGGACCAATCACTATTGCCTGTACATAACTTACTTTTACTAATGTGGTGTGACATCATCAAAAAGTGCAGGACTGGAACCGGCTCATGTAAAACATTGTGTCTAATATGGTGTCCCCCAGAGATTTAAACCCGCACACTTTGTATTTTAGGCGAGATTTTTAAGGTCATATGTTTCAAAGCCACCGATATTTTTCCAACGACTGGACATCATTTCATTAATTTTCAACAACATTTTGATGTATATTTGCATAGATTAAATGTAAAAACTAAACAAATTTCACTTTAATGAATGAAGCAGCAGGTGATCAGTGTGTTCCTATACATCCTCAGAGGTCATGACCTTTACATGGACTGGGACAAGATGAAGGGCCAGCCGTACTCTTACTTCACTTTTGGAGTGTGTTGCTCTGAGGTGGAACTGGACTGCCTCACAGGAGACTATCGGGTTTGGACTCAACTGTTGCTTCATTCCTGGGTTAAATGTGATTCAGCTTGTTGTGAAAGAAGTAATGTTTCTGTTTTCCTGCTTCCTGCAGACAGTGAGAACGGACATCGTGGTTGACATTGGTAGAAGTCTGAATCCCTCGGTGGACATTGGCCAGGTTGGATCATGTTTTTGATTAAACAGGCCTACGCATTTACATAAGGGTGTTCCCCAGGGTCCAGTTCTTGGACAACATTCATTCTTTATGAAAGGAGATGATACTGTAGTGCACACGTAAACCTCTTATACGTGTCTGCCTTTCAGGAAGACATCAGGCAGTTTGTGTTGGTTATAACTTTGAGCACAGGAGTCCCTCAGAGATGTGTACTCAGCCCTTCTCTCTTCGCTCTGCTGAGGAATTCAGTAAATGCCAGCTTATTAAATTTCCTGATGACATAACAGTTGTGGGACTCAGATATAAACATCTCGCAGTGCTGAGGTGGAACAGTTGAAGTTGATGTTGAAAGGAGTTTGCTGACCTGATCTGCTGTCTGTCTTTATTTATACACCTTCCACCTCTCAGATTGAAGGGGCCTTCACCCAGGGCTTGGGTCTCTACACTCTGGAGGAGTTGAAGTACTCCCCCACTGGGCTTCTGTACACTCGAGGTCCATCTCAGTACAAGATCCCAGCAGTCTGCGACATGCCGCTCCAGTTCAATGTCTATCTCTTGTCAGACTCCAACAACCCCCATGCCATCTACTCCTCAAAGGTCAGCACCAACATCTTCCTCTTGTTGGATAAATTGGTCACATCAATCCTCTAGTTCTGAAAATGTTTCTTGTGGATTTTGACTCCAGGGAATCGGAGAACCCACCCTCTTCCTGGGAAGCTCCATTTTCTTTGCCATAAAAGACGCTGTGGCGGCAGCTCGCTCAGATTCTGGTCTGATGGGCCCGTTTACTTTTGACAGTCCGGCGACTCCCGAGAGAGCATGCCTGGCCTGCTCCTCTCCGTTTATTCAGAAGGTGATAATACACTCAGTGAAGATGTTTAGTTTCTTTTGCACTAAAACTGCTGTACAAGACGTCTTTAGACCTAAAATATCTGGCCCTGAAGACAATGATTTATTGGGCTAAAATAACTCAGTTTGAGTATTTAATGTTCAAACAACCAGATTTTCTCAGTTCATCTGTTTTATCACATATGATATAAACTTTTAAAGTCGTAACCAGTTCCATGAGTTATTAACTAATATTTTGTAAAATTATATTTTCTCTTCCAGATTCCAGCCAGTCAGCCAGGATCTTTCACAGCATGGGCTTTAGATATCTGATATCAGGCTACTACTAAACCTAATGTGGACCATCTAATATTAACCAGTTCACTTATTAGACTGAAACTCTAAATGTTTAATTATTGCACAAGAAACTGTTTTATTCTCAAGCATGACACAAACAGTTTAAGAAAAAAAATTAAAAATTCTCACATATTTCACAACTCTCTTGTTCCTGCTGCACAATAATAAAAGCACTAAATAATTTTGTTTTACATTCAGTTGCAGGACTTGCCAATACATTTTTTTGACTGTAAGAAGCATGTGCATGCAAGTATTAAGGTCTCACAGAAGAAAAAAAGGGATTTAAAAAAATGTGTTTTTATCCCGGCGTTGAGACTAAATTAAATAGTTAAAGATGTTATATTATTTTATTTTTAAATAGGTGCAAATTGGGGATGCATTAAATCAAACAATTTAGTTTTGAAATAACCTTACTAAAATATAAACAAGTTCCTTTTCACAATATTTGTTCTGGTGCTGAGTGGGTTCCTTATAAATCTCAATACAAATATATTATTGAGTTTTTTGACTTTTCTCAACATCCCAACTTCATTCCATTAATGATTTGATGTTTTTGTTGTGAACTTGGCAGAGGACCGTAAGGACACCAGAGCACAGTAAGCGGTAGTAAACAGTTTTTATTAGCCTGAAGCTAAGGGAAGACATTACCGGTGTAGCGACATGAATGGCCTCATATTTGTGACCCAAAGGTCACACTTCCCCTGCCGGGTCAAGCTGTAACTTTTGTTCCACAGATTATCCATCAGGAGCCGTGGAGTCTGCTAAACACCATCTTTTATCTGTCGTCTGTTCCGTCCCAAGATGAAGGACACTTCAAGATTTTAAAATAATAATTTTAATAAACTGTTTTTACTGTTTATTACAATCATATAATAATCATCATAAATAATCATCATGGTTCAGTATGAATGTATTTAATTACTGAAATGACTTATTATTCTTTGGGTTAATAATTATTATTATTTATGATAATCAGTAATGTGTGATCAGTAACCAGAAGGTCATTTGCACGTGTACACAGCATGCAGGACTGAATCCAGGGCAAGGCCGGATTAACCATATGGGCAACTGGGCAATTGCCCAGGGCCCACGAACTCTAAAGGGCCCAGGGCAGCAAGGGCACGAGCAAAATACTGTGTCTATAATTTCCCGCTTTATGAGGACAATGGTGACCGTACGTCCTGTTTTCCCCGGACATGTCCACTTTTCACTCTCCGTCCGGGGCGTCCGACTGGGGGTTCTTGTATTGATGAAAATGTCCGGCTTTTGCAGGAGCAGGGATCGAATTATGGGGGAGCTGTATATCCTACACATCCAGGGGAGCTGGAAAAAAGTTTTCTACCTATATGACATCATTTATGGACTCTTTTGAGCAGAGAGCGGCACAGCGCGTTGTTGCGCAGCGCTCCAGGCAGCTGCTTCCAGCGCACGGTCCATTCTCAAAGTGGCGCAACCAAAAAACTATAATTAGCACACGGTCATTCATGTCCGCACGTGTTCTCTATTTTCTGTCTTATTTGTGCCTGAAGCGCTCTGCTACTGCGGAGCTCATCACCTGTGCTGCGGTGATTTCACCTCACTGACGCAGCATCGAAACGCGCTCTCCACTTTGTGGTCAGGAGATCCCTTTGATTTGCTCAAAAGTAACCGATGAGGTGAAAAAGTAAGAATCCAGGCAGCAGTTTTTCTGGAGAGTTTAGAGGAGATGCAGGAAGACGAGAGACAGACAGATTCCTCTGTGTAATCCATACCCTCTCCAGTAGTGTTAGTTATACAGTGTTTATAAAAGCCCCTCAGACATGACTGACATGTTCTAATATTATCAGATGAAAAACTAAATTATCAGACATGCTGTCTCATCTACTGCTTTTCTAAACTTGCAAAAAGTAACAAAACCATTTGAAAGCCACTATTTGTGGATTCTCTGAAAGTTTCCATGGAGTGTGGGACAACTTATTTCATCATTGATCCTATCGTCTAATCTCACAGCTGAAACAAGCATCCTTAATAATCTGTGCACAGGAAGCTTACCGATGCTGTAGTAAAACAAAAGGTATAATAATTTATTATTAATAAAACCTTGTTGCAGCACTAAAGCAGAAAAAATAGATTTTGCAGTAAATATGCAAAATATTTACATATGAATTGTTTTAGAGCCCTTTTATTGGCAGAATCTGATATTAATTTAGTTCTTACAAATAAATGTGTCCCAACGTGGATTGTGTGGCGTTGCCATAGTGTGACGTCATAGGCACAGATCCCCTGTCCTCTTTTTTGGAAATGGAAATATGATCACCCTACATTAAACAAACTGTCCACCCGGGCTTTTGCGCTGCACAGAGACGCTTCGCTGCCTATGACTTTGAACGTCAGAGAGTCAGTCTCATGCAGACTGACCAATGAAGAGAGGGCCTCAAGTTAAGACCCTCTCCTCATTGGTCAGTCTACACAAGGTGGGTCAAAGGTTACCCTGAGCGGGTTACGTGATGTCAGGCATTCAAGTATTGAGTATATTTACTGCATATTACAGTAAAATATTCTGTATGTGACCATATTATGGTGATCCTTGGGTCGTGATGATGGGGCCCTTGAATATTGTTGCCCAGGGTACAACGAAGTCTTAATCTGGCCCTGACTAAAACCTTGTTTCTCACTCTGTTTTAGTTAAAACCAACATAGACTTTAATGGGTTTATTGAGTTTATCTCCAGAAAAACACATTTGGTCATTATTGCAATGAACCTCCAATGAATAAAACAGCTGGTTTTATGAACGTTTAAGTCTTTAGTTTCTTTCTATCTGAGCTTGTGGACCAGGCCCGGAGTGGCTAATCGGGAGGGTCTGGAGAATTCCCGGTGGGCCGCGCGATGTTTGGGCCGCATGGGCCGGTGCTCTCGTTTTTGTTTTTTATCATTTTATTTTTATTTTTTGGTGCCGGTGTTCAGTCATGGCACTGAGGCCACCGGGCTGATCTCATACGCTCCTCCCGGCTGTCTCTACCTGCAGGCTGCAGCTCGTTTTTTTTCTTTTTGCCCAATATGCGCCTGTGCGCACCACGTGACCTCGCAGTTGACGGAAAGATGGAAAGTAGAAAGAGCAAGGGTGGCGCGGAGAAGGCAAGAATTAAAAAGAGGAAAGCGCTGGAAACAGATGCAGCTAAATGTGCAAAAATGAGCACCTTTTTTTCTCAAACAAGCTTGCGGTCTTTAACTTCAAATGAAGATAAAACGGGTAAGGCAAGTCAAGATGTTAAACTTTACCGGCTGCAAATCACCATTCAAGTTAATTAAGCATCAATAATGAATTATATGGCGTCATGACATAACGTTATGTAATATAGTCAACAGTATGATGTGACTGATGCCACCAAACTGTCTTGTAGCCCACAAGATCCAGTAGGCCTAATAAGCACCAGGCAGAAACCCACCATTCCAGAGTGGACATGTACAGGTAGGATTACTTATTGAGTCAGTGAACTGAATATTATTAAAATTTATATGATGAAAACTATCCTGGCTCTATATGAAAGTGTCCTAAAATGCTAGATGATTCAGCATTGATCAGAAAGCGTGTAAAAAGGAAAATGAATGCTGAATTGTGACAATTTTCACACAATGTAGTGTCAGAAGAAGAGCCAGGAGCCAGCAGTGAGGGTATTGCTCCTGTTGGGATAGAAGGTGAGCCAACTCATGTGCAAACAAGCAAACATTAGTTTCATTATAATAATTTTAATGTCCAAATAATAGTAGTGACCTGTTGTATTTTTATTAGTAAATGCACAAAGCCCACAACAGATAGTTATTAGAATGAAAGTAAAATGAAATAAGCCTGCATATTTTGCCATAGAAAATATTTTAATTGGTTACAAAAAATGTGTTTTCCATATCAAATGTGCTAAAGCTTTACAGATGATTATTTTAATTGTGTGCAGGTGAGTCTAGGGAAACTGGAAAAAGTGTGAAAGGGAGTGCTGAGTCATTTCATTTTAAAGGTTTGAAAATCTCAGAACAGCTGTTTGAACAGAATGTAGATTGTTATATTGTTAGAGAATGTGTTGTAAAGAACAATGTTGGAGATGTGCACTGATGTTCAAATAAACCTACATTGTAAAGCAACTCTTTCTTGCACTGAATTACAAGGCTTTACCGAGTAGTGTGCTTTTGTAGACTATACATATAAAGTTCCAACATGATTTTAATAATAATTCATTAAGTGGGCCGGTCTGGGGTCTGAAACTCCAGGGCTGAAAATGTGTCCCACTCCGGCCCTGTTGTGGACCCAGAGTCAAAATAAAGTCTAAATGAGATGTTTAGTAAATGAGCTCCGGTTCTTTGCTGCCCTCTAGTGGATACAGCTTCTATTGCAGGTGTTAAAACCAAATACAAACACTTGATTTGACTTGATGCAACATGAATAATCAGGTTTAGGTTTATTTGTTTGTTAATAAAAACTCAAGGTTTCAGGAAAAGGAATTTATTTTAGACAAGCTTGTTATTTTCCTCCTAAAAAGAGCTTAGATAAATTAAGACACTGGAAATATAATTTCAATCTAAAAGCCTTTTGTTCAACATGTTTCTAAACAACAACTATGATTCAGTCCCAGTTTAAAGCCCCATGAAAACAAACAGAGCCTGTCTCTGAGTGATGGATATTGACGACTGCAGCAGTTTGGACGAAATGAAACCACACAGAAAAGAGGAACTAAAGCCCAGAGATTAGTCTGGCCCCAGAGGAGTGTGTGTGTGTGTGTGTGTGTGTGTGTGTGTGTACAACAGCAATGATTAACATATGGGGTTGTTCTGGGGGGGTCTAAGGTCGATTGAGAGGATTCATTCTCTGTCTTCTGACAGCTGAGAGGAGTTCGACCTACAGACTCGGTGAGTTTCAGCTTTTATTTCAACACGACTTCACCTATAAATCAGTTCCTACGAAAGGGGAAGAAGGGAGGGATGATGGTTTCACAACTTTACAGGAAGTTTTTATGATGTTAGTTTAAAATGTTCTTATCGGGTGACAGAGCTGGACTCTAGTCAGGTTTTTCTGTTTTATTGACATTTGTTTTGTTTAAAAAAATACAAAGAACATCTTGTTAAACCTGAATTATATTTGATTTTTGTTAATCAATGACGAGACTCTAACCAGAAACGCTCTTGATTCTTTTATTTGCACCGATTCTGGTTCTGAGGGTCGGCACCGAGTTCTGACTTCTTTAAATAACAGAATGTATTTTTATGGCTTGGAATACAATTAACAGTCAGAATGATCTTTTAGCAATGGTGCATTCAGGGACCAAAAATTAACTGCTTAAAAATAAAGATTTTTAAGTTTCAGATCAGCTGATGGTGCTGAATTCCAACAAATTCCAGCTGTTTCATATCTCTTTGGTGCAAGGGTGATGGAGGGGGCATGGGAGTTTGCCCAACCAATCCACGTGTGTTTAGTGGATTTGGAGAAGGCTTATGACCGTGTCCCCAGGGGCACCCTGTGGAGGACGCTCCAGGAGTATGGGGTGGGTGGCTTTCTGTTAAGGGTCATTCAGATCCTTTACCAGAGGAGCGTGAGTTTGGTCCACATAGCCGGTAGTAAGTCGGACCTGTTCCCGGTGAGGGTTGGACTCCGCCAGGGCTGCCCTTTGTCACCGGTTCTGTTCATTACCTTTATGGACAGAATTTCTAGGCGCAGCCGTGGTGTGGAGTGTGTCGAGTTTGGTGGTCTCTCGTCTCTGCTTTTTGTGGATGATGTGGTCCTCCTAGCTTCATCCAGCTCTGACCTTCAGCTCTTGCTGGGTAGGTTTGCGGCCAAGTGTGAAGCGGCTGGGATGAGGATCAGCACCTCCAAATCTGAGACCATGGTTCTCGACCGGAAAAGGGTGGCTTGCCAACTCCAGGTCGGGAGAGAGGTCCTACCTCAAGTGGAGGAGTTTAAGTATCTCAGGGTCTTGTTCACGAGTGAGGGTAGGAGGGATCAGGAGATCGACAGGTGGATTGGTTCGGCGTCTGCAGTGATGCGGACGCTGAGCCGATCTGTCGTGGTGAAGAGGGAGCTGAGCCAGAAAGCCAGGCTCTCGATTTACCGGTCGATCTACGTCCCAATCCTCACCTATGGTCATGAGCTTTGGGTAATGACCGAAAGAACGAGATCGCGGATACAAGCGGCCGAAATGAGTTTCCTCCGTAGGGTGGCCGGGCTCAGCCTTAGAGATAGGGTGAGGAGCTCGGACATTCGGGAGGGACTCGGAGTAGAACCGCTGCTCCTCTGGATCGAAAGGAGTCCGTTGATGTGGTTTGGGCATCTGGTCAGGATGCCTCCTGGACGCCTCACTGGGGAGGTGTTTCGGGCATGTCCTGCCGGCAGGAGGCCCCCGGGTCGACCCAGGACACGTTGGAGAGGTTACATCTCCAATCTGGTCCGGGAACGCCTTGGGGTCCTGCCGGAGGAGCTGGTGGAGGTGGCTGGGGAGAGGACGGTCTGGAGCTCCCTAGTTGGGATGCTGCCCCCGCGACCCGGACCCGGATAAGCGGAGAACGATGACGATGACTGATGGTGCTGAATTCCAAGAGATTCCAGCTGTTTCATATTTATTTTCTGATTTTCTGATTTTTCTGATTGTCCTCTGAAGGTCAGCGATGAATGACCTCACCAGTGTTCATCCTAGAGAGGCCGTGGAGCGGATCGCCGCCTCGCTGGGCTGCAGCCCCACTTCAGTACAAGTGGCCGAATTCTTGGACAAACACGACCAGCTGGGACACCTCCGGGAGAACTTCCTGGTGCCCAAAGTAGCAGATTTACCTCCATGTAAGTAAAGCTGTTGAGGTGAAGTGGTTTTTTTTTCTGATCAGAGAGATTGATCTAGACTTCCTGTAGCTGACCTCTCGCTGGTCGACGGGAGCCTAGACTGCGTCTACCTGTCTGGAAACTCCCTGGGACTTCAACCCAAAATGGCGCGGAAATATCTGGAGGAGGAGCTGGAGAAGTGGGCCAAAACGTGGGTGAAGTCACCTGTTAGCTAAACCATTTCCTTCCCCTGGTTGTTGATTGTGTTGTGTTGATGTTTACCAGCGGGGTCTACGGCCACACGCAGGGCTCCAGGCCCTGGGCTTGGGCTGAAGACCAGCTGGAGGAGCTCATGGCCATGCTGGTTGGTGAGGAGCTTCATAAAATAACATTTTTATTTAGCAGCTGGGGGAATTTACAGATTTAAAACTTGGTTTTAAAAAGAAGTTGTCAAAGTCAGTAGATTATATTATTGTTCCTAAACAGCTGTTTTTATACAACAACACTATAACAAACTATACGTGTGAAACCCAGCAAAAGAAGTCAAAACTATTCCATATTATACGCAGACGACTGTCGAATCTATTTTTCACTGAAACCCACTGACTCCACTAAACCTCTGTTTGTCTTCACGATGTCATGCAATGGCTGACTGATAACTTCCTCCATCTGAATGACTCTAAAACAGAAGTAATTGTTTTTAGTCCCGACAATCGTAGAGCAACCCAGCAACCTGACCTCCACTTTCTGTCTCCCAATGTTACTTCTTCTATTTCCAACCTTGGAATAAAAATAGACCCGGTTCTGAAGATGGATGCTCAGGTCAACAGCACAGTCAGGTCCTGTTTTTACCACCTCAGGCGAATTTCTAAATTAAAGCCCATCCTGAGTGTCCGTCTTCTACAATCTGTGATTCACGCCTTCATCGCTTCTCGGCATCGGTAAAGCTGCTCTGTCTGGACTTCAGCTTGCCCAGGATTCAGCAGCAAGGTTCCTGACTGGAGCTGACAGAAGACAGCAAATCACTCCACCGGTTGCCCGTTCAGTTCAGGATCAACTTCAAAATTCTGCTTCTTGCATTCAAATCTTTGAACAGTCAGGCACCTCCCTATCTGTGTGAACTCCTCCATTACTGCCGCCCTCCTCGTGCTCTTAGGTCTGAAGATCAGCTCCTCCTAACTGTCCCTAAAGCACGTTTGAAGACCCGCGGGGAAAGGGCTTTTTCTGTCTGTGCCCCAAAACTGTGGAACTCATTACCTCTTCAGGTCTGTTGCCGTTTTTATATCACGCCTGAAAACCCGCGACCACTCCCTGGCCTTCAACTCCCACACCACAAAGCATTAACTCATCCTTAGTTTTTCCACCTTGTTTGTTCGATTTGAAATTTGTGTTTTTATATTCTGGTTTTACTTGTTCTCTTGGTTTTAGTTTGTTGTTCTTTTAACTCTTTTATCTTTTTACTTCATGTGATATACACGACTATTTTAGCTTGTGTTTTTTTTAATTCATTTGTTTTTATGTGCGCTTTGGTCGGTTATAATGCCGTGTTTAAAGCGCTCTACAAATAAAGTGGTATGGTATGTTATATGGGAGGGAGGCAGTGTGGCAAGCAGTTTGCATATTTATTACACAGACTGGATATGTGTTCTAGAAATCTTATAGTGTTAGCATTAACTTTCCTACCATCCACAAGAACACGTATAATAAAAATGTATTAAAATAATAATAAAATGTATTATTATTATTACAAGATGTCCCAGGAGATGGGAGGAGTCCAAGACCTCACCTGGCATATACATTCATACACAAACACAGTCACACACTCCCTCCTTCATGCTCACACACACAGATATGACCTAAAGACAACCACTCACTGTCACGGTGTAGGAGGTGGAGATGATGGACCATTTGTGGTTGAGCTGAGCAAGAGGTAAAAATAAAGGCTTCGGATAAAGTAAAAATGATTTAATGGCAGGATGGGATGAACAGAAACACCAGCAGACAACAACAAACAACAATGAACTGACAAAGGACAAGGGCAAAACAGGTGGTTTAAATACAGATGGCTAATTAGGGAAACATGGGCAGGTAAACGAGGGACAGGTGAGAACAATAAGGGTAATCATGGCAGGAGAGGAACACAGTCAGGCGGGCAGGGGCAGATCGTGACACTCACGCTCCCCACTCACACCCTTCTCACTCTGGTTCTGGTACTGCTGCACAGAGGGCACAACCATTCCCGAACACCAGAGCTAGCCCCGTTCTGACGTTCGATGTCTAATGTTTCAGTCCTTTCTTGTTAGGAGCTAAAACCGAGGAGGTGGCGCTGATGAACGGCCTGACGGTTAACCTGCACCTCCTGATGGTCAGATCCTGTTATTCCCTACGGAAATACCCCCAAACAAAGAGTTTCTCATGTAAACTGAACAAAATGCTTCTTCTCTGCAGCTTTCCTTCTACAAACCAACAGCAACTCGACACAAAATCCTCCTGGAGTTCAAGGCCTTCCCTTCTGACCACGTGAGGACATTTTCTGTCCCTCATTGCTGCTGGGGATAAAGTTTCATAAAGTGGGGCTTAAAAAATAGTGCATGATTAATCCACTGCAGCCAACATGTTTCAGAAGGAAGTTCAGGATCTGCCTCTTCAGTATTTTTATTCCTTTTCTAAATGAAAAGTTGGAGTTTTATCATAATTTTTACTGCTGTCAGTACGCTGTGGAGTCTCAGATCCGCCTGCGAGGGTTTGACCCCGAGGTCAGCATGCTGCTCCTGTCTCCCAGACCGGTACGGCCAAAACCACACCCCTCCATGTCTTTATGTATTCGTGTAACTTTGCCAGAGTTTAGAAAGGAAACGTGGCCTTAAGTAGGAATTGAGCATCCTGTCTGTTCAGGGAGAAGAAACACTAAGAACTGAGGACATCCTAGAGATGATTGAGAAAGAGGGCGACTCCATCGCCGTGGTGATGCTGAGTGGCGTTCAGTATTACACCGGACAGCTGTTCGACATGCCTGCTATCACTGAGGCCGGACACAAGAAGGTAACAATACAAAGTGCTAGTATTTATGCAACAACGCGGCTCTTTTACATGAACACACTGGTTTCAGGGTTGTTTTGTTGGCTTCGATTGCGCCCACGCAGCAGGAAACGTTGAGCTCAGACTTCACGATTGGGGTGTTGACTTTGCCTGCTGGTGCTCCTACAAGGTAAACAAACAAACAAAAGCAGAGATTAAAGGAAGGAATGCAGTTCTTAGTGAGGACTGTTGCTTCTGCAGTACATGAACTCAGGAGCAGGTGGACTCGCTGGAGCGTTTATTCATGAAAACCTCAGAAACACGACCAAACCCACGTGAGTAGAACCTCGATGATGCATCATTCAACTATACATGTCTCCACATTTACTAGTATGTATACATACACTCACTGGCCACTTTATTGGGTACACCTGCCTGCTAATTCATACAAATGTCTGATCAGCTAATCGCATGGTGGCAACTCAATGCATTTAGGATTGTAGACATGGTCAAGACGATCCGCTGCAGTTCTAACCGAGCTTCAGATGGGAAAGAAAGGTGATTTAAGTGACGTGACATGGTTGTTGGTGCCAGACAGACTGGCCTGAGTATTTCAGAAACTACTGAACTTCTGGGATTGTCACGCACAACCATCTCTAGGGTTTACAGAGGATGGTCCAGAAAAGGGAAAACATCCACTGAGCGGCAGTTCTGTGGGCGAAAATGCCTTGTTGATGCCAGAGGTAAGAGGAGAATGGCCAGACTGGATCGAGCTGATAGAAAGGCAACAGTAGCTAAAATAACCACGCGTTGCAACTAAGGTGCGCAGAAGAGCATTTCTGAACACACAGCACGTCGAACCTTGAGGCAGATGGGCCACAGCAGCAGAAGACCACATCAGGTGACACTCCTGTCAGCTAAGAACAGGAAACTGAGGCTACAATCCACGTAGGCTCACCAAGATAGAAGATTGGAAAAATGTTGCCTGGTCTGATGAGTCTCGATTTCTGCTGCAACATTCCGACTGTAAGGTCAGAATTTGGCGTCAGCAGCATGAAAGCATGGATCCATCCTGCCTTGTATCAACGGTTCAGTCTGCTGCTGCTGCTGGTGGTGGTGATGGTGTGATGGTGTGTGGGACGTTCTCTTGGCACGCTTTCAGCCCCATAGTACTTATAGATCATCACTGCAACGCCACAGCCTACCTGAGCATTGTTGCTGACCATGTCCATCCCGTTATGACCACAGAGTACCCATCATCTGATGCTACTTCCAGCAGGATAATGCTTCATGCCATAAAGCTGGAATCATCTCAGACTGGTTTCATGAACATGACAATGAGTTCACTGTACTCAAAAGTTCTCCACAGCCACCAGATCTCAACGCGATAGAGCACTTTTGGGATGTCGCTTGGACAATCCTCTACCCTGCACCATCTTGCCACAGGAGTCCCCCAGGGCTTTGTACTAGGACCTCTTCTCTTTGCCATGTACACCACCTCACTGGGTGAGATCATTCGATCGCATGGTTTCTCCTACCACTGCTATGCAGACGACACCCAGCTCTATTTGTCATTTCCACCGGACGACCACACTGTCTCTGCACGAATATCAAACTGTCTCTCTGACATATCAAAATGGATGAAATCCCACCATCTCCAACTCAACCTCTCTAAAACTGAACTACTTGTCATCCCAGCAAAACCGTCCATACAGCACAATATCTCAATCCAAAATGGCTTCCTATCTCTGGCTCCTTCAAAGGCAGTTCGAAATCTGGGTGTTGTGATTGATGAAGACCTGACCTTTAAAGATCATGTTGCCTCTGTTGCTTGTTCATGCCGCTTTACGCTGTATAACATACGAAAGATCAGACCATACCTAACACAACATGCCACCCAGCTCCTGCTGCAATCTACTGTCATCTCCCGCCTCGATTACTGCAATGCCCTTCTAACTGGTCTTCCAGCCTGTACTGTGAGACCTCTTCAAATGGTCCAGAACGCAGCGGCGCATCTGGTCTTCAATCAGCCAAAAAGAGCACACGTCACCCCTCTGTTCATTGAACTCCACTGGCTACCGCTAGCAGCACGCATCAAATTGCTAACACTAGCATACAAAGTCCGAGATGGTACAACTCCCATCTACCTGAATCCTCTTGCAAAGGCTTACGTCTCGGCCCGGCCGCTCCGGTCATCACAGGATCGTCGGCTAGCAGTGCCTACACCACGCTCAGGACAATCCAGACTCTTCTCATGTATTGTTCCACAAATGTGGAATGACCTTCCAAGCACTACCAGAACAGGAGCTTCCTTTTCAATTTTCAAGAAACTCCTGAAGACCCTGCTCTTCAGAGAGCATCTTCTAAACTAGCACCAGCCCTGCACCCCCCCCCCCCCCCCCCCAACCGTCCACTCCTTTGTTCCCTCCTCTCCATGATCGATGTCAAGTTGTTGTTATTGTTGTTGTTAGCCTCAAGGGCAACATGCCAATTATCACTTGTAAGTCGCTTTGGACAAAAGTGTCTGCTAAATACATAAACATAAACTTGTGGTGGAACGGGGGATTTACATCATGGATGTGCAGCTGACACATGTGCAGCAATTGCGTGATGCTATCAAGTCAGTATGGACCAAGATCTCTGAGAAATGTTTCCAGTACCTTGTTGAATCTACACCACAGAGGATTAAGGCAGTTCTGAAGGCGAAATGGGGTCCAACCCGGTACTAGCAAGGTGTACTCAATAAAGTGGCCAGTGCGTGTACATGTATGTAAATATATTAGTATGAGTCCATGCATTTCTATGTGCACATATATAGCTCATCCTGATCTACTCGTCTCTTTCAGGCTGTTAGGATGGTGGGGACATGACCTGAAGACACGCTTCCAGATGACAAACGGTACACCAACCACCAAGTCCTTCCAAGTTTAACTGTGCAATGAAGCCTGTTGTCTGTGGCTAACTCTTGTGGCTGAAGGTGGGCTTACACCACCAGTAAAAGACAATGTGCTGTGTGTTCAGAGTTGGAGCTACAGCCTGGAGTGAACGGATTCAGACTGTCAAACCAACCTGTTCTGTTAGTCTGCCCCCTACAGGCCAGTTTGGAGGTACGCCAGTCGAACCCCCGATTATCTCAGATTCAGATTTCAGATTCAGATTTCAGATTTATTGGCCAAGTAAAAGTACATTTACAAGGAATTTGGCTTCGGTAGATGTTCGCTCTCTAAAACATACAACAACCACAATAAATGAGAATAAAAAATACCTAAAAACACATAAGAACATGTATACCCACACACATGTTCATTTACACACACACACATATATACATATAGACATACCCACACACACACACACACACACGCACGCACGCACGCACACACACACACACACACACGCACGCACGCGCGCACACACACATATCCATAAGCATACTGAATAAGTATTAAAAACTATAATAAAAGGACGGTAAAATAATCTACAGATTCAGGAGAGAAATGGCTGAAGGAAAGAAACTGTTCTTGTGTCTGGTAGTCTCCCATCTCAGTCATGCTTGAGACTTCCTAAACAGCCTCTCAGAGCTCATGAGCTATTCTAAGATCTTACTCCTGAAGAGCATTCACTTTATTTCTTTAAGCAACTTTTACACAGAAACACAACTGGGAATGCTGTTTCCAGGTCTTCAACATGACCAGTATGGTGGAGCTGCGCAGGAAGTCCATCCTCCTGACCGGATACCTGGAGTACCTGATTAAACACTACTACACAGAGGACCAAGCCCAGCCTCACAAACCTCACGTGCATATCATCACACCTTCGGACCCTCAGCAGAGAGGCTGCCAGCTGTCTCTGTCCTTCTCCGTCCCCATCAGGAGGGTCTTCCAGGAGCTGGAGAGGAGGGGAGTAGCCGTGAGTGACTCACACTTCTAACGACACGGAGACTAAAGACTTGATCTGACAGGGCTTTGTGTTTCACACAGAGTGACATGAGGGAGCCCAGCGTGCTGCGAGTTGCTCCGGTTCCGCTCTACAACTCCTTCAGCGACGTCCATCGCTTCATCGGAATACTGGGAGAAGCGCTGGATGCGAGCAGGAAGTGAGGAGAAGATGCAGAATAAACTCCTGTCCTTGTTATTAGAGCACCGTAGTAGAAAAGTCACATAGACACACTAAAATAAAAATATTTTAAAGCTAAACTACCTGTCTTGTCTCTCACTAATAACTCATCTTCTCCAGTCTTTTCAAAATAAAACATATTTAATAAAAACAGGATTCAGGCGTCAGCCCTCCACGAGTCACCTGACTCTTCCAGCAGCATCTTATTATTTTTTTCCCCAATTTATTTTTAAAAATACAGTGAGTGGAAGTGACGACCCCCCCCCCCCCCCCCCCCCCCCGGATTACACACACCAGTTAGCTCACAGTCCTCCTCTTACCAATTAACACCTACTTCATTATAACGCTGACTTCTCCCTAATGCTTCTGCGTGTGTTTATGCACTATTACCTTGACGTATGCCTACGCCACGATGGGACATAATTGGCATATCAATATGCAAAACCTAAATGGATTAACCTTCTTTAAAACTAATGAGCATTTGGACGCCCAGCTGGGGAATGGACATGAATTAGCATTTGTCATCTTTTTGGAGGCTGATGTGAGAATAAATAATTGAAGAGAGGCTGGTATTGTCTTTCCTGAGGCTACCGTTGCTTTAAGAGGCTGTGCTGGAAAATAATAAGAGGAAATATGCAGATTTACTGTCTTAATAATAGCTGGGATTGCTGATTTCACACGTGCTGAGAAAAGTGGACAGTTTGGACCAGAAAAGAACAAACGGCTACGTTCTCTTATTCCAATCCGGTGCCACAGTTAACATCTGAATGTTACGTTTCAATTCCCTTTTATCAGAATGTGTGTTTGTTTTGTGCCCCTGCCATTAATTTACTTTTCTCCTTAGTAATTATTAATGCATTAGTGTTGTTTTTTCTTCCTTGCTGTGCAGGTTTTGTGTCTGCATCAGTTCTTTGTGACTCTTTGTGGTTGTTTTGTTCCTCTGTGGTAAATGCCGTCGCTTTGTTGTTGTTTTAAGGACCTCTGCAGTTTTCCAGTAAATTTGTGGTCATTTTGTACCTCTCTGCACTCGTTCCATGTTCAAATTACTTTTAATTTTTACTTTTTTCGAAGATGGTTAATAAAAAAAGAATTTTAAATCAGGGCTTTGGTCTGGGGCCCAGTATTTGCTGCCACAAAGGCCACATTCTAAGTAACATGCACACATACGTTGTTAAAGCAAGATTATTGCGATCCCAAAAGCACGTATTCACAGTTCAGTCTTCAAGTAATGACATTAATTCCTAAGTGTGTTTCCTTTAAGCCTCTGATGCATGAATTATGAAATCTTCAACCATGATTTTTTAAACAATTTTTTTCATTCATCTTTAGGTGTGAATGAAACAAATTTCAATATTTTTTGTAACATTTTGTTAATTTACAAACAATTTATTACATGTCCAGCTCAGTGGACAATGTGCATTCTGAACATGAAATATGTTGGCTTGACTTGCTGAAGTCCAAATGGAGGGGCTCACATGCAATAAAGTCTTCAACAGCTGTGCTTAATAGCAAAAATAAATAAATAACAATTTTGAGTACCTGTCCACTGTAGTGACCATTATGCATCAAAGGGTTAATTTTCATAAATCCTTGATCTATAACCCTCATTTATGATCACGAGCTTTGGGTAGTGACCGAAAGAGTGAGATTGTGGAATCAAGCGGCCGAAATGAGTTTTCTCCGCAGAGTGGCTGGCCTCTCTAAGCTCGGTCATCCGGGAGGGGTTCAGAGTAGACTCGCTGCTCCTCCACATCGAGAGGAGCCTGTTGAGGTGGCTCGGGAATTTGGTTAGGATGCCTCCTGAATGCTTCCACGGTGAGATGTTTGTGCAAATCCGACCCAACACAACCACTACCGACTGATTGGCCGGAAGTTCACACCTATCTACAGAGCCTCTGATTGGGGGTAGACTCAGCCAGTGGCAGCTTCCCACATGCACAATTCATAGAAGCAGTGGGGTAAACATCTTCTCTACCTGCAGCTCGGACCTACGGTCCAGCCGTGGGAGCGCGAGGACAGACTGCTGTGAGGAACATGCGGTACTCTCCGTGACAGAGTAGGAAGCGCTGTGCTTCATTTCAGTCTCCAAAAGCAACACTGCTCACAGCCGCCTTTGTTCACTAACTTAAGGAAAACACCAGACTTCACGCCCCGCCCATGTGCTAGGAGACATTCACGTTCCTGAGAAGGCTATAAGAATCTATGAGAACAAAACCTGGCTAAGGGGGCGGGCCGACGCTACCAAGACTGTACTGGGCCAGATGCAAAGACACCATCCGCTGAACAGGAAAGACCACAGGATTCCCCCCGGAGGAGCTTGCCCAAGTAGCTTGGGGGAGCGAAGTCTGGGCCTCTCTCAGATCTGCTGCCCCAGCGACCCGACCCCGGGTAAGTAGAGGAGTATGGATGGATGGATGAAAATCTTGAGACCTATAACTAGTTGTTTATTGGACCCTCCCCTTGTTGTCCTCCATGCCGTCACGTTTCACTTCACCACAAAGCAAATATTACTTTCTTTATTTAACTCAGAAAAACTACAGGACCGACAACACATCCATGAGGTGCACCACCCCAGATTTATCCACCTTTTTTTCCCAGATTTGCTCAAATCAAGATCTTTACAAAAATGGGAAAAGGCCATTTTAAAACAAACCTTCATGTTTCTTTTTTCTTGCTATTCATGTTTGATTTTGGCGCCACCTTTTGTATCATTTAGGACTAGCATGGCTCACTTTCTGGACGATGTCCCCACGTCTCCTCTCATGTATTGACTCAAAGGTAAAAGTTAAGACCTGCATTTATTTAGCCGTGAATATTGGCTCTGTTAGCAATCAAACATTCGAATAAATCATAATTTGTGCCACAATAGCAAAACTTTGCCCTTAGATGAAAGCTTTTAGTAGATTTGACTCATTTTCTTTATAAGTATTGAAACAAGACAATAAAGGGACCAACCAGTAAAAGCTTGGGGTCCAAACTGGTTTCTGACACCTGGAGCTCCTTGATCTCGTCATGTGAAGCCAAAACCACCCCAGGGTGTCGATGGTGGCACCAGTTAACAGGTAAAAGGGATTGAGAGCTGCATGAATCAGAACTAATTACCCCAAATAGCCACAGCCCCGGGCTTATTTTTCCAGTTCATGTCTTTCTGATTTGACAGCTGGCAAAAGGTAGCTGCAGAGGCGAACTGCTGCGCAGGACTTTTCATCCTGTTAATTAATTGTAGGGGAACTAAACCGTGAAAAGCTACAGACGGGAACTTTAGTGACCGCTCTGCTGGCAGGTCTGCTGTGGCAGCCACCGAGGGGGAAACACACATTAATAATAAAGTCAGGTGCAGCGCTCAAACTGTCAAATAAAAACGGTAGTGGATTAGTTTCGGGTGGTTTGGTTTTATTCCAGTTTGAGCCCAACTCCGCGCTATTAAAGCGCTCCATCAAACACAGCTGAAAGTGTTTGAAAGCAGCTTGTTTTTCAGCCAGAAAAAATGGATCTGTTTGAAGAGCAGGCTTCATGAATAAGAGAAGAAATCACAATGGAGGGCTGGAAAAGACAAAAAGGGCTAAAAATGAGAGTAAAAGGAGGAAGTGGGCTGCTCAGATGATTGAGGATCAGATACTAGAACCTTGTTAGCATCTCAGGCTGATTTCCATATTAACGACCCCTTCAGAACCCTCAAAGTTATGAATAATTGACAACAAATGAAATGTTTTGATTGTCGTCAGCGCTCGGCATGTTTAATGCTTCATATGTTGCTTTCTAGCTAATTATGGTGATTTGCCAGAAAGGCCTCCCCCAACTGTAAACCCTAACCATCCTCTTCCTCCTCAGATGGTCCCTGATTTGAGTCAGGAGGAGGCAGAGGAGCACACAAACGCCCCTGCAGTTGGGAATGCTTGGTGACCTGGCACCGTCTGGCCTCCACACATGAAAACCTCCCATGGAGAGGCGGACACGAGTCTGTAAATCCCTCCGAGGCTCAGGAGATGATAAAACAGCTTCTACTACACAATCAGAGGATCATTCTGTATGAAACGAACAATATTCATGACGCTTAGAGGGTTCAGCGTAAAACTAGAAGTGCTGTGATGGCCCCACAGGGGGATGTGGATGTTTTTAAAGTGACTGATGGAGGAGCCGTGATACAATCAGCATGTTTGGCGAGTGAGTGACATCATCAGCTTGCAGGTAAACTTCCTCCAACCTTAACCATGTTTCTGAGGTCAGTTCATGGAGGTCATGAGTCCATCCTTCCTCCTGTTGCATCCAAGTCATCCCCAGAAAGGATGCAAAATCCCCCGAGTAGGTTTTGGGTCTCCTCCCAGGAGGACATGTAAAAGGATTCCTTTTTTAATGAGGAGCATCTGCTCAAAGGGCAGAGCTTCTCTGGCTGCCCCAGGTCTATCCAGGATCTGGTTTATATCTCCTGATGGGTTGGACTAGAAAATTCCATTTTTCTCCAGGTAAATACCAGGACCTCAGACTCAGAACTGTTTCAAACCACCAGGTCCTGAAATGTTTGCACGAATGTTTCTGCTCTTTATTGCAAAAGGCCAACACACATGAAAATATCCTTTATTTAGTCTCTAAGGGGATTTATTGCCCTGAAAACTGATCTAAAGCTACGGGAAACAGATATGAGTTGCAACACTTCCACCAAACAGCCACTAGAGGGCAGAACAACACCAGGAAATACCCAGAGCAGCATCAGCAGCCGGCTCTCAGTGACCTTTAACCTCAGGGCTGTAAGGCTGCACACAACTGATTTATTAATTAAAAAAAGAAGACGTGATTAATGAGTTTCTACAGCAGGACCAGGATTCTTATTTAAACTCATTTGATAAAAAACAAAAATAATATGTAAAATGATTGCTGTGATTAAAAAAAGTATTTTATCATGTCTAAAACGTTTCAACTGAGATTTATTTTAAACTTTTTTAAAGAAATCCAGTTTCTGATTTATACAATTTTAGCAGAAACCAGATGATTCTGAGCTGAAACAAACAGAAATCTGATGTTTTTATGACAGAAAGATGAGCTGATCCAACCTGAACTGCTGCTCAGAATTCAACAGGAACGG